AGGTTTATCTCTCTTTTATAAATCATGTATTTTCAGTTTAACCTCATACTAAAGAAGAGATTCGTTTCATCCTTATCTTTCTCTGTTCTGATTACAAATATTTACATCAGTAAATATAGAATACGTATGCGTTTCAGCTAAATATTGCAGTGATTAAAAATACATTTGTTCCTTTTTTAATAACCCTTTTTACAAAAAATGATTCAAGCTTTTTTCAGGGATTAACGATTTGTGTTAAAAATTAATAAGCCAACTTAAGTGATTAACCATAATAACTATTCATGTGATTATCAGGGTTGGGTAAACTAATGATTTTTATATATTTTTTATAATACGTTTATAACTTATAAAAAACAATGGTATTCAGAGATAAAAAAATTTAACTTAGGAAAAAAGTCAATAAGTCGAATTAACTAGTTGAAGTTAAAAATTAATACATTTTAAATTTAAGCTAAGTTAAAAGTTATTAACTTTTAAACTTTTAACTAATTAACTAGTTTATCCCAGACAAATTCTGAAAATTTTGAAAAAAGCGTTCGAAATTCAACGCAGATTCTAGGATGAAATTCAACGACGCAAAAATTCGTCGGCGCGGGATTTACGTAATTTTCGAATTTCTTTGCGCAAAAGCGCGAAAGGAAGATTACGTCGGCGCGGCGGATGGCGCCGATAACCGCGCGCTTCCTAACGGATAGACATATTTTCGCAGACGGCAATATACGGTAGTTTCACGAGGGAGGGAGAGATTTCCGGACTCCTTTCGCGATGAACGTGGACGCAACATCGCTATGGGAAAATATCTCTCACGACGACAATGGCCGGCCCACGCGCGCCCATTGCTCGATTAGTTAAATCTTCTTCTTCTTTTTTTCTTTTTAGTCATTCAAAAGAGAAAATATTGAAGGAGCTTTCCGAGAAACACATAAACACAACGTCACACGATTAACTATTAAATAATTATTAAATAGAAAAATTTTGAAGACTTTAAAAATTTTCTATTCGATAGCCAATCACATCAAATACACTAAGGCGTTACGACATGTCTTAGGCGCCCCAGTGACAAAGGCTCCATTATTTTGCAAAACTGCATAAATAATTAAAAAATAGACTATCAAAATTTTGCGCCCTCCCTAAACTTTGCGCCCTACGCTGAAGTGTATATTGCGTACCTCCTTGTATAACGCCTCCGCACATACATTGTGCTTATCTCTGTGCTTTCTTACTGAAAAGCTGCCTGCCTGAATCTAGTTATCCTATTCACGTACAAAATTACAATTTCTATGTGAATCATATATACATAAAGGAGCAGGAAAAAATGTTATTTTCGGGACTTCTCAATTTAATAGGTCAATTTCATAGGGTTTTTTAAACTAGAAGAAGAATATGCTACGATCTATAGTTTTTAAAATAACGATTTTAAAAATAATAGCAATACTTTTGCCACAACAATTATGATACTGCAATATGTGTACATTTAAGAAAAAATAGACAATATCTGATAGAACAATTTAATGTTGTATTTGTTATAAAACGAAAGCATGAGCGATGGAGTCCATCCCCATGTCAAAAAAATTTTAACCTCATCCAAACCTATTTCTGATTAAATTAAAATATATTTGTTATATTAAAAAATGGTGAAAAATTTCTATGCCAATATAATCTCTTGCAAAAACTTTCGAAAACTTCAAATATATTAAAAAAAAAAAGAATTACAATTTTAAAACATTATAGTTTGCGACATTCCTTTTCCTCGCTAAAAAAATTTCTCACACTTATCAAATTGAGGAATCGCGGAAATATTCTCTCCCACGATGTGATATCGACAAACATACATTCATGATTAATGAGCATTAATTTCGAGATAATCTCGGGCACTCGATAAATTTTCGATACTAATTATAAAAAGTCAACGATCTTCTAAAATAAATAATAAAACCAAACAAGGCAATTAAAAATTTTTAAAAAATAGGACCACGTAATGATTTGTTAATAGTTCATTTAGTTATATTTAGTTTATAAATTTAATTATTAATTAAGTTACTAATTTCTCTCTCATCATTAAAAATCTCATTATTTATTTACATTAATATTGAATTATTTTTCAATTTAATCCCAAAAACACACAAAAATATTTGGTAGCGAAATTCTCGATAGTGAGCAGTTTTGAAGAGACCTGGTTATATTTTTCCATCATATTATTCGCGGTCAATTAATTGCGGGTGGTCTGGAACTTACCAGCCAAGAGTCAAAGACGCGAAAGCTTATTGGTCGAACTCGTAATATGCTCGCTCCTCCTCAGAAACACTATGAATCACTGTGAATCACTGAGTCACCAACTAAGTAAGACGCGAGGTTCGGCCGTGGCGAAAAATCGATCGAAGGAAAAACGTCTCGGCGATGCGAGGGAAGACGGCCGACTGACTGAACAAAACTCGCGAATGATCGGAACAGCGCCGGTCAGGCTAAATCTCGACGGTTTCATTCGTATACGCGAGAACGAAGGAACAAGAAGAAGAAAGCGAGAGAAGCACTCGGATCGATAGCGAGAAAAAAAATTTTCATGCGCGAGAGATGTGGCGCCTCTCGAGCGGTTGAAGTTGAAAAGATGATTCAATGATCACGAGGTCATTAGCTGAATGAAATTCGAAAAACAACTTTTTGTGTCGAAGATTATCGATATTTGAAAAAAAAATGTTTCAACTGATTTCTACAATACTTTCTTCAATATAGGGTGGCCCATTTTAATTCTAACAGACAAATATACTTGGGAATCACGAGGTTATCACAGACAAAATTGTACTTTTATGTACTAAAAAATAAAAGGGATCAATGTAGTTGGTACTAGTTGTTTTTAAGAAAAAAATATTTAATTGCAAATAATGTACTTTTTTTTTTTTACTAAAAACAGTTATTTATATTTTCTTTACACCATTCTTATCATTATTTTATAAAAGTATTGAGGACATTGAGATAAAATCTTAGAAAATAAATATTTTTTAGTTTATGTAAAATTACATGCACCAAATTAAAGTCTAAAATAATTTTGTAAACTATTGTCTTTTAGTCATTATATTCTTATAACTTTTATGCTAAATATTGCGAAAATTCGATTTATAGTATATGTATGTAAAAAAATTAGAAGATGTCATTCAAGGACATTTCAAGGTCACGAATTAGAATCTCATTACGAAACCCATAATTTTTGCTTAACATGAATGACATTTTTTCTTTAAACCTCATGATTGTCTGTTAAAATAAATAATTCTGTATCCGCTTTTTCACTAACAATAATGTGGATTTTTCGCTTTTGCGAAAGTGTCAAGACATTTTAATCACTTTAATCAGATTGAAAGCTTGATGATGAAGTTTAGTGTTCGGTGTAACTTAATATTATTTAAGCGCGGAAAAATCAAATCTGTCATTTTTTTTACTCTTCTCTAGATAATAAAAAATATCTCGTGTCGCACAGCTGTGTGCATCTGCACGAAATTGTGGCAATTTCTCGCTCACCTGCTGCTTCAGCTGTTCCTTCTCGCTTTCTCATCTCTTCTTGTAAAAAAAAGTAGCTCAATCTATGAGAAACGAATCGGCAACCGAATAATTCTTAAACGATGGGATTGCTAAGGTCATCTTCTTTAGTATCGATAAAAATTCTTTAGGGCAAAAAACACGTCATTGATCGATCTCGATCGATTGATCGACGAAAAAAACGCGTCGTAATATGCCACGCAAATTTTATGTCATGTCCATCCCGGAAATCAGCGAAACAGAGCATGACAGGTAAAGGCCACGAAGAGAAGAGCGACTAGATTAGAAAGAGATTCGTCTTTTCTAGCGCATATTTCTCGACGAGAGACCACATTCTTTCCCCCCGACTTCTCGAATATCGTCTACGTATCGTCTACGAGCGGTACGATAATTACGGAAATAATTCGCCTTGGATTTTATATTTTTCTATTTATCATCTAAATTGTCAATCAATTCGATATATCGATTATATTGAATACTTATCGAGCGGCGATTCGGAGCTCGATTAGTATTGAATACTTATCCGAAATTTGAAACACATCATTTTTTTGCGCATCCTTTTCTTTTTATTGGGTGAATAGAATAATAAATGCCTTTCCACGATTAAAGTATATATAGAAACAAAGTGCGAACTTACCGATTTTATATTAAAAACAGAAAAAAAATTTTTATTTTTTAATTAAAAAAAAATATATATAGAAACAAAGTACGAACCTACCGATTATATATAAAAACAGAAAACAAATTTTTTTTAACATAAAAGCGGTAGGTTCCGACTTTTGTTTCTATATGTGCTTTAATCGTGAAAAAGCATTTATTATTTTGTTCAATCAATAAAAAGAAAAAGACGCGCAAAAAAAATGATCAATTTTATCGATAAAACAGAACGGCGTTTAAGATGCAGTTCGATAAGTATTCGATATAATCGATATATCGAATCGACTGACAATTTCTTCTATAAAAAAATTTATTAAATTAAAAATTGAAAATTTTTTTGTTCTTAACATAAAATCGGTAAGTTCTGAATTTTGTTTCTATATGTACTTTAATCGTGGAAATTTATTTATTATTCTGTTCAACCAATAAAAAGAAAAGAGTGTGCAAAAAAATGATCGATTTTATCGATAAAACAGGACGGCGTTTAAGATGCAGTTCGATAAGTATTCGATATAATCGATATATCGAATCGACTGACAATTTCTTCTATAAAAAAATTTATTAAATTAAAAATTGAAAATTTTTTTGTTCTTAACATAAAATCGGTAAGTTCTGAATTTTGTTTCTATATGTACTTTAATCGTTGAAATTCATTTATTATTCTGTTCAACCAATAAAAAGAAAAGGGTGTTCAAAAAAATGGTCGATTTTATTGATAAAACAGGACGGCGTTTGGTATCTTTATAACTTATAATTACTATCGAGCACTACGCTCATTACGTTACTATCAATGAAAAAAAAATAATAATGCTTACGGGGATTCTGCAGCACCTGTCGGTAAACACGGAGAGCCGCAGTCCTCTGGTCCACGTAGTCCCACAATCCGTCGCAGGCGATTATGAGAAAATCTTCGGTACCGTCCAGAGACACGCATCGGATCTCAGGCTCGCCGCTAACGTACGGTTTATACGGGACGTCGCCTGTGAGAAGAAAGGAAAAAAAGATCAAGAAACGATGAACGACCGTTCTCCGCTCCGTGTTTTCAAGCACTCGCGCTTGAACGTTTCAGACGCGAATGCGAAAAGCGGAAAGGAATGCTCGGTTCCGAAAGTATGCGCGTATTAAAGATCGTAGAGGTAGGTAACTGTTTACGGTTTATAATCCATATGACTAAAAAGCCGTAAATTCAGATATTTTACACATAAAATAAAAACATGCTACGCGGCGCGCAAATTAACTATAATTAACTGTTTAATGAATGAAACGCGGTTAATTTAAATAATGACGCCGCGCGCTTCCGGTTATTATTATATGAATCTGAACTAGCCGCTCTTTATTTTTTTCTCTCTTCCTCGCCTCTTTACAAAAATTACGTAACGCCCATACAGCGTATATACATATTTGTATCACGCAACACCGAAAGTGTTATCTCATTTACCGTAATGAAATTAATTTTTATAAATTCCGTAATTAACTTGTCGGAATTTTTTATTTCACTTAAAATCACATCCGCTGGATCAACAAGAGAGTTGACTATTTAATTAAATTCTCGAGAAAGAATGGGCTCTGAACGGGTACTAAGGCTCCTGGGTACTCGCCGCGGCCATATTAGATGACGTTGTGACGTCAGAGACGAGAAAATACACGCTGAAAATTATTGCGTGCCATTTTTAAATAAAAAGATATGCTAAAGCCATCGTGATGTTTCATGATAAAGTAATGTTTCATCGAAATATTTTTTTATTTAAAAATGGCACGCAAGAATTTGTAACTCTCGCCTCTGACGTTACAATTCGACATGGTCGGCGAGAACCTAAGAGATTTCAGCCGAACTTAATTCACACTAGGTCTGTTTTTTTTTTTCAAGTAAACTAGCTGCACTAGTTTAGAGTTTATTTATTCTTTCCTTTCAATGTGAAATAAAAAGATAAACTCTGAACTAGTGCAGCCAATTCAACTGAAAAGAACACACTTATTGTTAATACCTAACCTAATCAAATTAAAATATTTAAATAATTAAAGTAATAAAGAGAACTTTCGATAATTGAAGTTATATTTAATAAATAGCTAAAGAGTAATAAAAAAAGATTTTCGATAATTGAAGTTATATTAGAATTCTTCGTGAGGTCATCATTTTTCATCTTCAGAGCGCATCAAAACAATATTAAAATTTATGAACGTTCCAATATTGACTCCGCGAACCTCTTTTAGCATCTACGCTAAAGATATGGAAGCATACATAGTGTTTTTTAATTATATTCTGGACATGCAAGCTACTCATGGAATGCTCCTGGAGCGTAACTGCACGTATTATTGTGTCAGCGGACAAACGGAACCAACAGGATACCCGCCGATACACGCGGCCAGAATTTTTCCTCAGTTGTCTTCGCACCTCAAACCGTAATTGGGTATCCCTCGCTTGTCCTTACTTGGCACCCGCTTCACGTTTGGGCGCGAATAATATAGGGTGTCCCATAGGAAATTGCTGAAATTAATCAGCTGTCATTTTTTAATGCATGCAATTATTGAGAAAACAAAAAAGAAAGAGTTTGCAGTTTTTAATAGATATAAATAAAATGTTTGTAATACACGTGCAGGCAAAGTGGCACTTTGTGTGCGTGTTTTCTGTACGCCAAGCGGCCGATTTCCCACGCCGCCATCTAGCAACGACGCGGTGAGTGAATAAGCCGCATTCAAAGCCATTGCCTACGACACAGATCAATGGACAGATCGCCAAAGGCCTATCTAAAGAGGAGACCGTCATTTTTGCCCCTTATCAACACACTTTGCCCCTGGTTCGAGTCCAGGCTAATAAAATCCTTTAATTTTACCAAAAAATTTTGCCTCTAGTGCGAGTTCAGGCTAAAATCCTTTGATTATACGTGTAAAGTAAAAATATTTTAGCCTGAACTTGCACCAAAGGCAAAATTTTTTGGTAAAATCAAAGGATTTTATTAGCCTGGACTCGAACCAGGGGCAAAGTGTGTCAGTAAGGGGCAAAAATGACGGTCTCCTCTTTAGACAGGCCTTTGGCGATCTGTCTATTAATCTGTGCCTACGACTGAAGCCGTGGGCAAAGCTTTGAACGCGGCTATTCCCGCACCGTGCCGCCGCAAGATGGCGGCGTGCGATCGGCCACCTCGCGCACAGAAAACACACACAAAGCCACTTTGCCTGCACTTGTAATACAAAATATTGTGTGTTACAAGTGCGGAAAGTTGACAATTGGTCACGAGTGCGGGGGATGAACGCACTCGTGACCAATTGTCAACTTTCCGCACTTGTAACACAATATACTATTGTATACTAGTTTATTTTATTGAAAAAAGTAATGAAAAAAGTGCTAATAATCACATATGTAAGCCAATGATAAATATTTTCGAAGTGCGCTTTATTTGAATTTGTACAAAATTCTGTTCTTTTATGAAAACTCGTAAAAACTTTTTCTAACATGTTATTTTTAATGTTATTGATGATTTATTTATTAGCTGCTATTAAATCTGGCGCTGTTGAAAATATTGACCATTAGTTTATGTGATTTTATGTGATTATTAGCACTTTTTTCATTATTTTTTATCAATAAAATAAACTAGTATACAAACATTTTATTTATATCCATTAAAAATTACAGACTTTCTAATACAATTTTTGTTTTCTCAATAACTGCATGCATTAAAAAATGACAGCTAATTAGTTTCAGCAATTTCCTTTGGGACACCTTGTATAAATATTCCACGCGACTCTAGCAGCAAATATTTTAATCAAATTTTCCGTGGACACGAAAAAATGCACCTCGCGTCAATAATTTAAATATTTTTTACTATCATCAAATTCGGATATGCACAAATACGAAAAAAAAAAAATTATAACTTGCAGAAAAAAGAAGACAGACAGAATAGAGATTAAAAAACATTTTGGGCGAAGTTTACGATATTTGTGATCCCGGCAAACACCAAGTAACAATTATATAACTGTTAGTTATAATTGCCCATTCAACAATGTAAATGCAATATAACACGTGTGTTGAATGGGAAATTATAATTAACAGTTATATAATTGTTACTTGATATTTGCTGGGATTTAATACACTTTTCTGAAAACTGTAGGTAATTAATTGAAAAATTAATTGAGAATAAATTGCTTCCAGAGAATAAATTTAAATTGAGAATTAAATAAGAAATTAAAAAATTTAACTTTATTTAGATTACTCTCCTCAGTTTCTTAAAAAGTAGTACAGTCATTTGGTAGTTTTACCTGGAAAGTTTTCCGGGAGTTTTGATATTTGACATTTTGATAGATTTTGAGGTGCTCTTTTCGAATTTTTACTTTGCCACCTCGTATCTTTGCCGCTTGCACCGCCATAATTGAAAAATGCCGCCTAAGAACAGTTTTTCGACAATATCTTAATAGTTTTACCCGGAAAATTTTCCGGTAGTTTTGATATTTGATATTTTGATACATTTTGAGGTGCTCTTCTCGAATTTTCACTTTACCACCTCGTATCTTTGCCGCTTGCACCGCTATATTTGAAAAATGGCGTCTAAAAAACGGTTTTTCAACAATATCTCCTTTCCGGCTGATTTTACGATAAGAATAGTTATTACTAGAGGAAATTTTCTATAATTTGTCTTTATAATTTTTTTTGTATAACAAATAGTTTCGGCATACAAGCGCCGCAAAGTTTATTGAAAAGGGAATACCGATTAATAAATTAACTTAATACATTCTCATTCATTTTGTTGTCCCTGATGAACCAGGTTCTGCAAGTTTTTCGTCGTGAGTTTCGGCGTAAAATATATATTGTCCCCACTCACCGCTCGTGCGTTAGCAACAAGTCGCCAGATACGCGTAACTAAGAAAAAAAACGTAATAAAATAACAATACTACGCAATTTTTCAATCCTGATATAAAAACTTTTCTTAATATTAATTAGTCGTTAGTGTTATACGCATGAAGTCATGGCTTCTAAGCAAAGTAATTGTTTTATTTGTGAGAATCTGTTAATAGAAAGTAAAATAATTGAAGTAAAGGAAAAAGGATTGGAGACATTTCGTCAGTCAAGTATTAATTAATTTATTAATCGTTATTCCCTCCTCAGTAAACTTTGCGGCGGTTGTACGCCAAAACAAAAAAAAAATTTTTTTATTTAAAAAATTACATAAATTAAATTTTTTTACTAGTTTAATTTCTTACATAACTGTTCTTATCGTAAAATCAGCCGAAAAGGAGATATTGTCGAAAAACCGCTTTTGGGTGCCATTTTTCAAATATGATGACGCAAGCGACAAAAATACGAGGTGGTAAAGTAAAAATTCGAAAAGAGCACCTCAAAATCTATCAAAATGCCAAATATCAAAACTCCCGGAAAATTTTTCAGGTAATCTCCTTTTTTAGCACCAAATGACTGTACTAAAGTGTGCAAATTGGAAACTTGCAGATTTCATTCATTAAGCTTCCTTTATGATAGTGAAAAAAATGAGTATATACATACATATTTTTAAAAAATGTAATTTTTCAATGTTTTTGGAATATTCTAAACACATTGGCATAGAAACTGAAAAACTTTTTTTTCATTCATTTTTAATGGATAGGAACATTCATTGATTGATTATTACTGGAAAACGCTAATTGCATTAAAATATAAAATGAAAATTAATATTGATTAAAATTATAAAATATTTAAATATTTTATTCTTTGATCATGAACAATTTGCTGAGTTGCTGTCTCCATCTGTACATTAATTTTGTACCGCAGCGCGGCAAAAACCGACTGGTAAGAAACTCAAAAAAATCTAATATTAACAGAGAACGGAAAAATACATCCTTTCCATAACACGTTTTTTTCCATCACACAGTTACTGCAAATATTTTCACGCGAGAAAAAAATTAAAAAATACGAAATCTATATTATCGTACCGAAAGAACCATATAATCACATCATAAAAACTTACCTATAGCTCGAGATATGCTGAGGAAACCATTTACTCGTAGGACTCCCATACAATGAACGACGACACCTCCCATATTGCGGATTCGCTCATTTTCGTCCTAAGGGGGAAAAAAAGATCGTGAAATGTAAAACATGTCATCGAGTTGCCTCGATAAATCTCGTGCGTGACATTGTTAATAAAAATTAGAACACATCCCCGCGATAACGATGAGCCATCAAACATGTCGATACTTCGATATTCTCGCTTATTGGATTGTGCATTTCACGTGCCTCGATTGTTTGTACAGGACAATATGAGGTGCTTTATGTGTTGACAGCGTCGAAATTACTGGTATAATCGAATATCCCTTTTCCTCTCGACATGACTGTCATCGGGACGCAGACCGACAGTGACAGAAGACTCCTGGACTTTCAGCATTACGAGGAGTACTTGGACTCTCTAGTGAGCCCAATAGACATATATTACCTCCGAAGCAGCAAAATCGCCCGGCAATTGGCCAAGCTCGGTTATCGCTGCACCGGCGAGACTCTGAACGAAAAGTGCTTCTATCGTCGGTTACAAATCGTGAAGAACCTGCTGCTTCCCATCCATCGGCCCTACGTACTCGCTTGTGAATATACAATCCCCGTAGGCAGGTTAATGGAGGAATTGGATCTGCGCGAGCGACTCAACAGATTGGGACTCCTGTCGACCATCATCTATGTTCGGCACTTCGCTACAGAATTACGGCAGTTCGAGGAGTCGGCTTATATCGACTTCGAAGATCGACTTAGGTCAGAAAATTGGTTGCCGTATTATCGCGGCGAGAGAAGATTGTCACCGCTCAAACGAGACCTCGCGTATTACCACTGGAGAACCGGGAGAACGTGCTTGAACGAGACCCGGAATTACGTACCCTTTGTGGATCCCAAACGTGGCCTGTTGTTCAAAAATATTCACGACAGGCAGACAATCACTGTCGATCCGGCTGTCGCGTCGCCTGGGGTATACACAACGAGAGTGCGAATACGGTGCCCCTTTTACGAGCACGTGATACTGTATGATCATATGATCAGAAACAAAATTAGCTTTGAAAACTAGAGGCGTCAAGAGCATTCGGCTTTGTTATACTGATTGGGCATATTTTGCAAATTGCAAAATTAATCTTAGCTCGTTTCCAAGGAATTTTCTCTTTCCCAAGGAAAGAAATGTACAAAAAAGCAGCCATTAAAGAAAACGTTTTAATAAATAAAAAAAGTTAAAATACACCTATAACTTCAAACTTGTTTTAGGAAAGATTTATGTACCGTAATCCCTCTGGGAAAATAAAAAAAAAATCACACTTAATCTTATAAGTCAAAGAATACACATGTTGCAAGAACAGGACATTTTAACAATCAACTGGGCACATAATCTAAATTAAGATTATTTCGCTGAAAATGAAAATACGTTTCTTAATCTTATTTTATTATGTAAAAAGTAGAAATATGGATCACTTACTTCTCGTGCGGGTCGATGAGGGTTCACCAGCTGTTTCACGTTGCCGTTCGAGACTAGCGAAGCCATGCTGTCGCCTACCCAGGCAATATACAACTTTTTGTTTAACAACAGTGCACAGACCGCGGTGGTCCCGCCATTCAATTTCTACAACAGACGATAATGATCAGAAGAGATTATTGACGAGAAGCGAACGAAATATTGATGTTTTGGATGTTTTCCAATAACACAGTGTACAATCCAGTCCAATTACGATACAAATTGACACTATCGTACATAGCTAAAATGCTGTTACTAAAATGCCATGTTCATCGTTTTGTATCACTCCATACCAACATTTTTACATTTGATATCATTTTTCTTTTCTATGGTATTTGATGTTAAGTAGGAGGTAAACTTTTAAAAGAACTTGAAAAAAACTTTGAAAAAGCTTTGCAAAGGAACTGCCTCGCATTCCGACGGTAAAATAAAGAAGCTAAGTGGTGTTCTAGCTAATAAGTGAACATTGTGTAACACTGTATCACACAGTGTACTTTTCTACAAGGAAATACAGATAAACACAATGTGATTGGTCATCAAATAGGGAATTGTTAAAGTCTCAAAAATTATTTTATCAAATCACCAATCGCGTAATATGTTTCTTATTGGTAACCTCCTATTTTCAAGTAGCAAACTGACGTCATTCGACGCCAAAATACTTGTTGTAGCTGAGTTGTAACTATATCATACAGTGACGCTATGTTGCTGGAAAGTACCCACTGAATACAAGCGACCAAATGTTTACCTGCGTACTCGATTTCGCTATAAATTGCTGGTCAGTGGTCAGAAAAGCATCGCGCAACGCAGCTTCTGGATCCGTGGGATAATAAACGCTCTCGACCAGATACTGGTGCAGATGCGTCGCGCAATAGGCTGCAGCATCCTGTCCGCCATGGCCATCGAACACGGCATAGTAATTCGCGATCGTATCATCCTGGGGATTAATAAGAGATAGTATCAATTCATATTATAATTTCGGATTCCTTAATTTTAATCGCTGTGAAACTTCTTACAGCTAAATTGCTAAATTTGTCCTTACCTGAATATTAAAAATAGTGTGCAAATCGTGTAGGATCATATGACGATCTTCCATTTTTCTTCTGGCATTCTGGTGGCGCCCACAGTCACTTGTGGCGTCGACGAAGGCGGCGGCAGAAGCGCCAGCCTGCTGTTGTCCAAATATCGTCTGCAGATTTCGTTTACCTCGTTCGTAACAGCCTGCATGAGTTTCAAAGGCGCATAAGCTGAAAAAATTTCAAGATTAAAATTATTGTGAAATGATTAATTATTGTGAAAATTGTAAAACAATGGAGAACTTTCTACTCTATTTAACCCGCTCTAATTTTATGGACACTATATATTTTCTTTCAAAAATAATTTCTTTACGCATTAATAAGTGAATAAAAATAAACTTACTCTTCTCTTGCTGTCTTAATCCACAAATTTCGGGTGTTGTTTTTGCATGTTGATTGAATTGCTTGTATCACGAGTGTGCATGATGTAGGATTGTAAACTCGGTGGACAATATCTGAAATCATATCGATTTTTCTTATGGAATATGAAGATGTTTTATAGTTTCTAATGATAGTTTTAGTAATATTATTTATTAATTAACCGATATATTTAATTAAGTTATAAGTAAAATAAAATAAATAAAACAATTTGGAAGAGAAAGAAAAAAATCGTAAGATAAAAAAAAGCATTAAAAAATATTATGACTAAGGAGAACAAACTTAAATATTCAAAGCATATGAGAAAGGTCCGTGTTCACTCCGCTATCTCTCATTTATCATTTATCTTTCATCGTTTATCCTTTTCACTCTACGACTACGATGGACGGAGATAGCCTCTCGTGACGGCTTCACTTGAAGCAGATAACCGCGTCAATGGTGCGGAAATAGTTTTCACCACGAGTGCTCTTTTTCCAGGAACGAAACAATCATACACTATATGCGACAGAACGTTTACACAATGTCTACTTGTAACTGAAATCTATACTTATATTAGCAAGGTTGGATAAGTTAATGATTTTTTAAAATCAAAGTTAAATTAAAATTAGTAACTTAAAAATTAATTTAGTTAAGTTAAAAGTTGCATAAACAAAAAAATTAACTCAATTAAAGTTAAGTTAAGATTAAATTAACTGAAGTTAAATCAAAAGTTTATTTTTAAAACTTATTTATATTAAATTAGAATTTTGTTTGTTAATTCTTTTAAAATTTATAACAACAAATAACAAAGAAATATTAAATATCACTCCATAGAAAAAAAGTGATAATAAAAATTAAAATATTGATACCAGAGATATCATATAGAGAAACATTTTAGCAATAAGTCGAGTATTTTAGCTCTGTACGATTTGTATTGATTTGTATCGTAGTTGGAAAGCATCCATGATTCTGTTCTTTCTTCTGCGCCTTTTCGCGAAATTCATAGTTTTCAAAAGAGCAAATACTCACGATGAAGAAATATTTAAAAGCCAAGTATAATTCTCTCTATCCTTCGCATATATGCACATTTCTCTCCCGCGTGATACACCGCGCAGCTATGCGTAACTTTTTTGCGTGCTAACTCTTTCACGCCTCACATGAGATATTCTTGTGGTTTTAAAACACTCCAACATTTCTATACTACACAACTGCGATACAAATCGCATTTACTCGAAGAGAAATTATACGCATAGCTTTGTTTTTTTTTTGTAGAAGTGGATTACTATAGTACATCCATGTATATAGAATCTCCAAATTATTATTTTTAAAATATATTAAATTTCACTAATAATGTTTGATAGAAGATTAAAAGATTCGGAATTATTAATCACAGATTTTTAATTAAATAAGGGTATATATATTTATTGAAGCAAATGTCCCAAAATAATAAAATAATCTTACTTTATTAAAAATATATTAAATATATATATATATATATATATATATGTATATAAAGTTAAATAATTGAGATATACTGAGTTAGATGAAAATATTATTCAACCAAAAGAGTCTCTTATATTAGATGACAAATCAACAAAATAAAAAAAGATAGATTTCATAAAAATGGCAGACGTTTCGTAAATGATGTCATCAAATTATTTGAAAAGTTTTCTTGCCATTATTTTTACGATTTCTCATAAAGTGATTGAATATCATATCCTTAACATTCCTTTAAACATTTTCGAACATATAACTTAGGAAAGAAGTTAATAAGTTTACGGTCAAAAATAACTAGTTGAAGTTTAAAGTTAATACATTTTAAATTAACTAAGTTAACAATAAGTTAAAGTTATTAACTTTTTAATTTTTTTAACTTTTAACTATTTAACTAGTTATTATACCCAACCCTGATATATATATATTTATATATATATATATATATATATATATATATTTTGTATAAAATAATTAATTAAAATTAAGTATAATTTAAGTTGCTATTTCTATCTCTTTCCATTTTTTACTTCTAGAAACAACGCAGCAATGAAATCATCATCGATTCTCCGATTAACACTCGTACAAACGAGTCGAGATTAATTAAAGAGAATGTATATTTCTCTATATTACACGTTTGCTAATGTTTCTTCTCCTTCGACATTCGAGCCAAACATTTTTCAAAGATAAGATTTATCTATAGCTCGCGTTACGTTTTTGAAAGCGTCAAGTTCCGCGCATGATAAAAGCAAGCCGGGTGCAATTCGGTGGAATATTAAATTACACACACATATTTATATATCAGGGTGCCAAAAGTCTAAATACAATCGAATATCTCGTAAGCAATGCATTTTCGAAAAAAATGTTTCAAATAAAATTGTAAGTTTAAAATATTTACAGATCTATTTACAGATCTTTATCACTTTGACTTTGGGTGACATTGCCAAGGTCAAGGCAAGATCTATCTTGAATTTCTTAAATAAAACCTCATATTTTTTTATGCAAATCGATTCTCAATATTCTATAAAAGTTATATAAGGATAGGATGATCAAAGAATGAATTTACGAAACATTTTATATTTTAGTTTGACATAATTTTACATAAATTATGAAATACCTCATTATTCTCAAAAAAATATTTTCAAGAAAATTATTTTCAAGAAAAATATGTAATTGACTAGTTACAATTTATATATTTTTATATTTACAATTTATTTATTTGATTCCTCTTATTATTCTGTACATTAAAGTATTAGAGGTAAAATCGAAAATGAATATTTTACGAGATATTTCATAGTTTATTAAAAAAAAATTATGTCAAATTAAATAAGTATAAATATTTAGTAAATTATTCACTTTTTGACCATCCTATCTTTATAACTTTTTACGCAAAATATTGTGAGAAATAAATTTATTTAAAAAATATGGTATTTTTCATTAAAAAAATTCAAAGTAACATTGATTCTTAAATATTTTTTCAAATTTTATTGCATGTAATATCTTTTGTACAAAACAATTAATTTATTATAATATTTAAATAAATAAATAATATAAATTAATTAAAATATTTAATACAAGTATATATATATATATATATATATTTAATATAAATAAATAATATTTAATATAAATAAATAATTAAATTATAAGGCTCCCGAATATAAAAACAATTGAAAAAGAATGAGCTATTGAGCCAAGCGCTGTTGTTTGGAGCATTAATTGTGTTAAGTTGAAGTTTATTCAATAAAAATAGTAAAACGTTTTGACCCTGACTGGTCCTCTTCAGTTACATATATCAACTATAAAATAAATTATAATACATGATAAATTTCCAATAAAAGTAAATTTAAATAGACTCATAGCTCATTTATTTTTTCAATCGTTAATAAATAAATAATATAAATTTTTTATATAATTATATATATATTTTTTTAAATCATACACCCGGTATATACAATGTATATCGACAAGCGTCACCTCGCCCACGCGATAATTACTCCGAACAACAAACAAAATGTTTGATGTATACTCACGTCTTATTGAGGTACTGTAGAGTCACGCTAATGATCTCACCGACCAGCTCGCTCTCGTTGACGTCGTACGCGCTCACCTTCACCGGCAGTTGATCGTCTGGGTTCACCCGGGCGACGACTCCGTGAAGAAGCGCGAGTACGCGCCCAGGTAATCGCCGTCAACCACAGAGTCCGTGTCGTCCATTTCGTACTCCACGGACGCACGTGTCGCGTTCGAGAAACGCGCGACGCGACGCGGCGCCGCTGACGTTCCGCTTCACAATGAGATTCCGGAGACGCGTAATAGAGAACCGGACTCCGGTCTTGCCTCCGCACTGTTTTATGTCAATCGCACACAAAACGAAGTCGTCGAGCAGCGCGCAAACTTACTCTGGAGATGCGCCGATATCCGCATACGATATGTATTATTACGTCATTCATTCACTGCGGCGTCTCGTGTACAATCGCTACGCGCTGCGCGTAAGAATGTAGGAAGAGAAACGCGCAGTGGCTCCGATAATAGGAGAAAGGGTGCGAAATGGAGGGGGACAAACGCACGCGCGCGCGCTGCGTTCGAAACGTCATCGCTCGAGCGTCCCTTGCACTTTTCTCTTTTTTTATTTTTTAAATTTATTATTTTTTATTATATTCATGGATCGTCCCTATCGCAGATCAGACCGTATCGGATTTCTCCGAGTTAATTCCGTTTTTCGATTCGTGATAAAAAATATAAAGATATATTTATTAGAAATTATCAGTCACAGCGTACGCATGTCCGATATCAGCAATATCTCGTTTTCGTTCCACTCGAGAGATGCGCTGCTACGTTCACTATGTTAGAGATGACGCTACGCATGCGCAGTCTACCGACGCGCTCGACCCGCAGCTACGTTCGTGTCGATGAGGATTTTCATATTATTTCGCGGGAAATAAATATAAACAATGAATTATACTTGTTTTCTTGAATTTCCGCTGTAAATTTTATATTGTAATTTTACGTAATTTATTTATATATATAAATTATAAATATCTCGTAAACTATTTGTTTTTTTCACGACCTTATTTCAATATATTTTTTATGCACAAAATATAAGAAGCAATTTGTATAAAGAAAACACATATAATTAGTTTTTAAAAAAAGTATGTAAATTGCAACTAGCAGCTATTTTATGTAAAAATGACGTGAAATTAAAGAAATTATTCACCATCCCTGACTTGTTATGTCAAAAAATTAATCTAGTGTTATTAAAAGAAGACTAGATTGACTTTCAAATAACTTTAAAAATAATTTCAATAAAATTTAGAATTATCAATTTATTTCTTGAAATCTTTTAACTTTTATATAAATATATATATATTTTCTTGTTACACCCATAGTTTTTCTGAGATAATTCGACTATTAATTAAAATATAACATTTGGTATATTTGTTGCATGTAATTTTTGGTTTATATATAACTTAAATACATATATACATAATTGTACATGCTATACTTAATCTTATAAAGATCTAATCCACTGCTTATTGTCATAATATAGTACATCTCGAATCAAGCTGAGATGGTATTTCATTACCTTGTTTTAACTCTTCGCTTCTTATATGCAGATAAGAATTCTTGAACTCCTTCTGCATCCATTCAGGTAGAGGAGCGTTCCAATTCTCTGGTGGTTTTTCTCTTTTCTCCCATACGTCGTTCTGATAATGGGCATGTAAACGGTCTATCCTGCGTTGCTTTTCACTCATGATCAATTCTTTCTACAATTTTCCATTATTTTATGATATAAGGTGTCTACTAATAGAAAATTGCTGAAACTAATCAGCTATCATTTTTTAATGCATGCAGTTATTAAGAAAACAAAAATTGTATTAGAAAGTCTGCAGTTTTTAATGGATATAAATAAAATGTTTGTATATCAGTTTGTTTTATTGATAAAAAGTAATAAAAAAAGTGTTAATAATCACATAAATTAATGATAAATATTTCAACAGTGCCAAATTTAATAGCAGCTATTGAAAGAATCATCAATAACATTAAAATAACATGTTAGAAAAAATTTTCACAAGTTTTTGTAAAGATGGAATTTTGTACAAATTTAAATGGTGTGCACTTTAAAAATATTTATCATTAATTTACATATGTGATTATTAGCATTTTTTTCATTCCTATTTATCTATAAAATAAACTGGTATACATTTTATTTATATCCATTAAAAACTTCAGATTTTCCTTTTTCAATTTTTTTCTCAATAACTGTATGCATTAAAAATGACAGCTGATTAGTTTCAGCAATTTCCTATAGAGTAGCCTGTATTAAATATATTAAAATTGTCAAAATAGTAACAGTAATTCACATACATATGCTTTTTCTGATTTATGTTTCTCCCATTCGTAACAGTTGGTATAATCAGTTTTCCATTGACTGCAATCAATCGTTTTGCCAAATACAAAATATTGATGGAAACGAGCTCTTATACTGGTACAATCATCGTATTCGGCCTTATATATCATACATGGTCTCACCTAACAAAAACAAAAAATTGATAAGATATTCAATAAAAAGATGATGCAGAAAGAAGTATAATAAAGTACCATCCATTCATCTTTGGGAGGTTTTTTTTCTTCTTTGGCTTGACTCATATTTATATCAGTGCTTGTTTCTCAGTGTTGTAAATTCTATATAAAAAATAAAACTGCTTATTATTTACCAAACACGTGTGAAACATGCAAAAGAATATTTAAAGTATGAATTAGATATAGGTTAGGATAACAAATTAACGCAAACGACAAATATTAATAATTATCATATCTTCTTAAAAATTGAAAAAAAATTATTCAACAAACTTATTTTGATATTTTCTTACATGTAATAAATGTTAATTCTTTGAACATTTTATATCCTTATTTACGCTGTGCTCTAAATAAAACAAAGCAGTCAAGAGTTGCCAACCTTCTTCTTCTCAAAATGTAATATTACTAACCTTATTTTTTCCTCAAATTAAAGTTCTATAAACTTTACCTGAAATTAACTAAAAATGTAGTTTTGTTAATAATTTATAAAAAAAGCATTTATTTTCAATTGTTTATAACTCGAAAATTATTAAAATAAATGTGTGGTACGGCAGATCTGGGACACCCTGTATATGCCGTAGGCACAGATTAATCTGTGGCGACGCGACAAACCTATAGACTGCGCGCATGCGCCGCACTTCATTTACAAATCATATTCTTATCACGATATAATCATTTTGTTGAAAATATTTTATATTTACATAACACAATATTTAAAACCTAATATGTACAATTATGATTATCCGAAATAATCTAAGTTCAAATTATCGTGAATGAGGCCAAACAGCATCTCTAAATTTCAAAATCATAATTAATGTGATATATAATTATTATAATAATTTATTAGAATAATTTAATCTTATTTTCTGTCATGATCAAAAATGACTATTATTTATCATTATGTCATTTTGATATTGTGACTTTTTGTTCTGCTTGGGCGACGTCGATTTATCTATCATTTCTCGCTGGGCATAGTTATGCTTTATTTTTTTCGATAGGTAATTGTTTAAATAAGCAAGCATTGCACATCATGACAATTAAGAAAAGATATATGTTACATCTGACTGTCACTGTTTATATTTTTATTTCTTTATTACCAGCTATACGTTTATTACTTGTTATGATGTTCATAGTTTGCTTATTCAAATGAGATATACATAATTTTATATTTGTTTTAATCTAAATATAATTAATGAATGTTTTATTTTTATCATTGTATATACTATATTTCATAAAAAATATAATGTAATATTGTAAATAAACCTCTAAAATATATATTCTTTCATTTTTAATATATATTTGGTTTCAAAATATTAATATTTTCAATTTGATATTTCCATTTTTAATTTCGCGCCTTATCTAAATAAAGATATGGCGGTATGTCACGTGATGCGTATATAACATCAAATAGTGCCGAAGAATTTGGTTTCTGTGACATGTCGATTATGACGTCATAGCCCGGTGTACATTATTATATTTCGCGAATCTCGAGCGGCATTTGCAAGAAAGTGCACGAGTGCGTTCAATTTACACGTATGGGAAGCTTAAATCAAGCGTGATGGAATAGAGCGACGAGCGACGAGAGAACGATCGGTATATATTCGTACCGCAGCCTCTTCTGTCGCTTTTCTAACCTGTTCGCATCATTGCTCGTCTTCCATCACGGATGTCCGGGTGTTTTTCGTGTAGGGACTGGTGCAAAATCAATTACCGGTGATTATTTAATCGCACGAGAAACAATAATATGATGTCGCGGTCAGTGCGCGCAGAGACCCGTAGTCGTGCTAAGGATGACATTAAACGTGTAATGCAAGTAGTTGATAAAGTTCGTCATTGGTAAGTTTCTTGGAATAGCTTCAGAGAAAGAGAGAGAGAGAGAGAAATGTCAATTTTTGCATTTGACAGGTAGCAAGCACATGTCATTTTCACGTCTAATGTCATTTGACGTCAAAATGACGTACGCATAATGAAATGTCAACTTTTGCGTTTGACGTCAATTTTTGCATTAGACAGGTAGCAAGCACGTTATTTTGACTTCGAATGACATCATTAGACGTCAAAATAACATCAATTTGACGTTTAATGACGTCAATTTACTACTTGGGTTGTTACATTCGGATGATGATGTATGAAGAAAACAGTTTTTATTTATTGAACAGAATGAAAAATGGGATTGAAAGATATTAGAATGGTTATTAGTGTTTAAAGTCGAAGTACTTATTTGTAAGTAAAAGATTACAGTAAATATACTGTTACATTTCAATATCCAAATACATCATTTTGACATCAAATAATGTCATTAGACGTCAAAGTGATGTCATTTTTATATCTAAATATGTCGCAAGTAGCAAACGACATCATTAGATGTCACTGTAACGTTTAATGACGTCAAATGACGTATGCTTGTTACCTGGGGTCATTAAACATCTAAATATATTATTAGATGTTAAGGTAATGTCATTTTAACATCTAAATATGTTATTAAATGTCCAAGTGACATCATTATGTCTAATGACGTTAGTTTTCTTGGATAAGAGAGAGAAAGCGGCAATTTAATCTATCTAATCTAAAAATTTTATTGTTCTATAACAGAGCTTTGTATGCATATAATGCTAGTTTATTTTATATACTTTTGACATATATCTGTATATATGTTTCTTCATCCACATTTGATTGGGTGGCTAAATTATGTTGTTATAAAAGAATAATAATATATTATTGTGAAAAATATTAATGCTTTTCTTCTGTTACTATGACTTATATAAAAATAAACATCTATTTAGAATCCTGAATGCACTTTGCAGGGAAAAAAAATGGGTTACTATAGGAGAAACAACTATGAAAATATACAAATGGGTTCCGATTTCGACTCTTGATCAGGTACATAAACGAATTTGGGTTGATAATAAAATTATAATAAAAACAAATATTTACATAGAATTTTCTTTTGCAGAAGAAAAAAGGTAAAACAGTTTCTGATAAGGAGAATGGTTTACCAAGAAAAGGAGGAATAGATTCATCAAATTCCAATTTTGGACTTACAGAAGATTCCAATACATGTGAGTTTGATTTTAATGATAATTTAAAACCAATATTATTGCCAATTAATAAAACAATAATCTATTTCCACATTTCTAGGTTTTTCCACTGTTAGTGATTCTCAAGGATTGACAGATTTTTCTGCACATTTGGGTTTTTCAGAGGACTCCAATTCACAAAATAGCGAATCTGCACCTAAGAGATTAAAGACTGACTGAATGTTTAATTCACAATCAACATCATTGTCGCTGTCACATATGATTTAACACATTATTTAGGAATCATTATCTCTTTGGGATTTTGCACTTGACAATTTTGTGTTAATTTATATCTCTTGACACGGATGAATTGCAAGAGAAGCATCATCCAAATTTAGTGTGAGAAATATCTTATATATACATATACATATATAATATGTATATAATTATATATATAACATACAATTATATGCATTATATATAATTATATATATATATATGAAACTGAGTAGTATTACTCTTATGGAACTGAATTATGTATAATGAAATTTATTTTTTATGTATGGATTTATTATAATTTTTTTCCATTGAACTTAGGAGTTATAAATAATGATTCATTAATTGGAGAGATAAAAACTGGCAAATGCTCAATCGTTTATTAAAAATCCGGGTTTTTCCAAAACAGCAAGACTATGAAAACAGTTTTGAAAGTCAGGAAAAATAAAAATTAATAGCACATTGTACATTTGCAAGCTATTCTGTAGCCATGTTAAAATATTGTATATTTTTGGTTTGTTTTTTTTTCTTAAATTTTTATTTTTCTGGCTATAAAAATAATAATGTATTGCTGTATCAGAATATTTTTGCAAAATACTCAAATGTTAAAATTATTTTTTACTGCAAGTTAACTGCTGATGTCAAAACACATAAGTACATATACATTTTATGTCTAAACACTTATTTTTGAAAAGTTGTGAAAAGTCATTGTATATATACCAAATCATTTTTTTCTATTGATATAAAAGAATTTGCATTCCTTTGTGTTATAGCACCGTGACATGTACAAAATAAGCTTGAACTCATACAAATAAAATAGTTAAATGACTTTTTGATCAGTGCGTACCATACATTGCTTATGGAAAAGTTGTGATACATTTGTTCTTTAGATATTGTAAAGAAAAACATTTAGTTTATGAAAGTATTTTGCCTAAAATCATTTAATCTAAAATTGTCTTGGTCACATTTTGAGATAAGTTCTTATTCGTTTAACAAGCCTTTGCAATGTATATTTAATGTGTATATTTTTATTATTTAAATTATTTAAATCTCTTTAATACAACACATTATAAAAACATGTATTATGTATAAAAAATATTTTATTTGCCTAAGTAATTTATTTCATTACCACATTATTACCAGGGTAGTATTTTACCATCATACTGAACGAAACAACCGGTATGCTCTTTTGTCAATGAATTCAAGGTGTTTAGAATATTATTGACGCTGGTGTCGACGTCCATCGGAGCATTGTTGCCACCTAGGTCGGTGCGTACCCATCCAGGGTGCAAACATGCCACTAAAATTCCATCTGTTTTCAGATCGATGCTCATCGATTTGGTCGCCGCATTAAGCGCCGCCTGTATATACGAGATTAGATAAGGTACATTTGTTTTCCAAGATTTGTGCTGTAAGTGGGTGTGTTTGATACGAAATACCAATATCAATTTTGACAATAGTTTAACTTTTTCGAGTTCAAAAGAATTTAAATAATGAATTTCTAGCTTTAACAAAAGTTCCAAAATTTTTAAAATTTAATGACATACATATACAGGATGGAGCATTTTAAGTATTACAAGCTATTATTTCTGAAAATACACATAGCAAAAAATGTTTTAAACAAAAGTTATTTGACTCGAAGAGGGACATCCATATATAATATGGATATATTTTAAGTCTTAAAGTGTTTTACCTTACTACATCTATAGGGATAAAAACCGCCGTCATTATTTTCAGCAATGCTGCCTAAAATAGAAGTCATATTGATGACAGCTGCTTTTCTTACGCTTAATTCAGCTTTGTCCTTGGCATGTTTTGTAGCCGTTTTCAATAGTGGTAGAAAAGCCTTGAATCAATTATTACACGAATATTATATTACATACACATACAGAGTATCCTATTTTAATCGATCACTTCCAAAAACTTTCCATTTTTGATTGTACAACAAAATGTTTCAAACAAAAGTTGTTTCATTTGAAGGGGAACAGAAAATGATACTACTGACTTCTAATGAACGTTTTTCAAGGTCATTTATACTGAGCATTTTAATTCAATAATGAATATAAAGCGTTTCATAAACATACTTTTGTGAGCATAATAGGTGCCATGGTATTTATTAGAAAAGCGTCTATAATTTGCTGCTCCTTCACAAGACCAAGGCGCGTGAATTTGCTGGAAACACCAGCATTATTGAAGAGAAGGTTGAGACCAGCGCCATTTACTTTTTCGCTGACCGTATCTACGATTCTTTTGTAGTCATTTGTGTTCGTCAAATCTGAAAGAAAAAGGAGTATGGTTACAAAAAATTGTTTATTATAAAATATAGAATAAAAGTTTTTATTTTGCCACGACTAGACAATTCTTTCGCAAGTATCTTTCTTAATAAAATAAAATATTTAACAATTAAATTGAAAGAAGAAAAAAAATATTGACGAAATAATTTTTTTTCCAGGAATTTTTACTGTTTACGTAAATTTTTGAAATAAAATTTTTATGTATTTGATCATATTATAGTTATGATATATGTATGTTGGAAAAGTTATAGTGTAATTATAAGTATGTTATAAAATTTTTAATTTCGATATATATATATTACATTTAGTTTTAATTTAATTTAAAATTGTTAATTTTAACATCGTATTCAATTTTAAAAATCTTATGTTTGAAAAAAATAGTATAAACATTAATTGAAAACTTTAATAAATCCTCAATGATGTAATTCAGATACAGATTCAATAACAGATTGTATACTTTGCAATGAATATTTTATTGATCATAATTAACACAAATTTTTATTGAGAGCTAAAAGTTCTAACAACGATATTTAATTGTGATTACAATATAAAACTTCAAAACATTACATACCTAGCTATAATATGACAAAATATTTTTAAAAGGCCAATTTTTGCAACTTTAATTGCAAATTTCTCAAAATTATGACGTAATAAAGCATTTTAGAAACTGCAATTGTATACAGCGTTAAAAAGAAGCTATGGAAAATAATTATAATCTTATTTTTGTTATGTTGAACTATGTTAATAAACCTAGTCACGTTTTATGTGTAATATTTTACATAATTAGGCCGCAGTAACTAAAAAACATTGGAGATTTAAAGAGAAATAAATGCACATGTTTTTTTTTATATTTATGTATTTTATTATTATTGAATATAATTTTATATTTGATCCGTAAAATATGTAAGAGATATTTTTTGCCGCGAATTTAATTTTCCGATAAGTTATATGCAATTATCATTGTCGCCTTGTAAAAGAAACAGTCGTCGCGTCATGCACTGATAAACAATAATTATTAATTTTCTTATCACGCGCAAGAAAAGATTGATCTGTCTCATGTAGAAAACTAGCGCCAAATGATATAACAGACAGTATACGTATCGATCAATATAAATATAAATCTCCGACAAAATCGTGTTTTTTTTCTTACAATATGAATAAGGCGCATAATAAAGCAAATAAGTCGAATACGTGGTTTTCGATATGTCGCAAAAAATCGCAAACTGTAGATTTTGATTCGAGCGATCGAGAAATCGAGGAAGACAGATAATCAAGTACAATTAGTGCAGGATAAAGTGAAGGATGATGTAGAGAATAAAGTGGAAACTCGACAGAGGAATGTTACTCCCACATTGAGTAAGATCTTCAGCAATTTTTTAATAATTGAGATTTCCTGCACAAGTACGACATATACATTAATAATGCTTTTATAAGGTCGTCTAATCAACACTTGTACAATATCGATTTTTATTGATGCAATCTACATATATAGGATGTCTTATTTTAATCAATCACCTCCAAAAACTTTTATTTTTGATTGTACAACAAAATAAAGGGAACAGAAAATGGCGTTGCTGATTCTTCTCTGAAGGGCACTTTTCAAGGTCGTTTGATAGTTACTTACATATTTTGTTAAGTAGAACTATCAAATTTTTGTAATAAATCGATCCTCGTAATTTTTAGCATAAAAAATCCTACAACTTTTGTCTAATACGGTTTTTACTAAAACTTCGTAATTTTCAAATCAATTAATTTTGTCTGCTTGTTAAAATTAAAATAAATCATCCTGCGTATATAAAATTATTTATACATATATATATTTTAATTTTTAAAAATATTTTATATGCATATGCTTTCATCAGATTTAGTTGCAATCTCACTCTAACGCAATAAAAATGTTATCATGATAATAAAGATAATAACGGTATAATATTCTTCCGCGTAGCGAAATTTAAATTAGCGTAACCAAACGAAACGAATAAACAATATAACGAATTATATAACGACTTACCTATCTCGATAATATGTATATTCGATGACTTATCGGCGAGTGCACGTAATTCCTATACAAAAATTTTTCTCTTTTATTTTTTTCCTCTTTTTTTAAACACAGTTATTGCGTAATTGTGAAAAATATCTCGCATTATTTCGAATCTGTATAAAATCGCACGTGTGATGAGGTAAAGAATCTTGGCAATCCGATCAAATAAAGTAACGATTTATATACTACCGATGTACAGGGTGCCCCATTCTAATCGATCACCTCTTGTAACTTTGCAGAAAGCAATTGTAGAGAAAAATGTTTTAGGCATGTTTGATTGCAAGGTCAAGGCCAAGATCACCAGCTTATGTCCCCCTTGGAGCCATACAACTTTTACCTGAAACATTTTTCTCTACGACTGTTCCCTGCAAAGTTACAAGGGGTAATCGATTAAAAAGGGACACTGTATATATATATATATATATATGTGTGTGTGTGTGTGTGTGTGTGTGTGTGTGTATCGAACGCAATAATTGCTCGTCATCACAGATTCATCGTTGATTCGTATTACAAAATTGCAGGGTTGCGCAAGTTATATATTAATGATTTTTTTAAACCAAGTTAAGTTAAAATTATATACAGTTGATTATAAAATAAATTTAGTTAAGTTAAAAGTTGCATGAATAAAAAATTAATTCGGATCACTCAAAGTTAAGATATTAAATTAACTAAAGTTAGTTGCTTAAAATTAATTTAGTTAAGTTAAAAGTTGCATGAACAAAAAATTAATTCACAATCAGTTAAAGTTAAATTAACTAAAGTCAAATCAAAAGTCAATTTTTAATAATATTAAATATTATTTATATTAAATTAGAATTGTGTTTGTTAATTCTTTTAAAATTATTATAATAACAAGAAATTTTGATTTTTAGAAATTATATTTTCTAGTAATTACAATTGATGACAAATGAATATAAAAATTAATAATGCTTTAATTTAAAAATAATACTGTTATAACTTATAAAAAACAATAAAATATAGTATATTCATGCAAAGATTTAAAAATTTAGTTTATTTATTGTTAGAAAAAAAGTAAATAAAAATAACTAATTGAAGTTCAAAATTAATACATTTAAAATTAACTAAGCTAAGTTAAAAGTTATCAACTTTTATTAATTAATTAATTATAGTTATTACCCAATCTTGCAAAATTGCGACAAGTTTTCGAGAATATAGAGGAGACCTGGGGAGAGGGAAATTAGAAGCCGCGGACATAAAATAGATGGCGTTGACGAGGACTCTGACGACAACTTCAAGTAGTAGAGTAGACGTGTCTCGGTGTCAGTACCACTTGAACTGTTGTTAGAGTTGAATTCCGAAGAAAAAAATATATTCAAAATTACATAGCACGAGAACGTATAAAACGTTTGAACAGTTTTTATCGATCGAAAAAGACGGACCACGTGAGCGAAATACGTTCATTCGCGCAAGGAGCAAAGAGAATCGCGATGGCGCCGATTGGTGAGTAGTAACCTATCTCCTATCTCAAAAAATTCCGAAAAAATTGTATAAAATTGTGCTAATTGAAACGAAAATTGACGCCATCGATTTTTTATCAATTTTTACCGTCGCCTTGCTCGCGTCGCGACAGGTCGCGAAAATATGCTCGGGCGGTTTCGGTGATCCTTCGACTAGATGCTTCACCAGACCCAAACCCAGACCCCGGTTGCATCCGGTGATCAGAATCGACCTCATCGCCTCTTCTGCGCCTCGAATCTCGAATCACTCCGCGAAAACTGTGCGCCCGATCGAGGAGGGCTTTATCGCGATGTGAATGGCGATAGGCTGATTCGCGACATGACTGACGTCACTTGGCGCAACCGTGCGGCCAAATCGTCATGTCACCGATTATCATGGCGTTACTGACGATGTTCACGCGGCTCGTCCCGCTTCGGAACGCGCGGGCCAAGTTGCTCGGGTTACCGTGCAATAACTATCAGTCTCTTGTCAGATATGACGGCTTCGTTTACGGCAGAAGCGCGATGGCCTGCATGTGCAGTGAGTGTGGATTTACATGCATGATTAGGGCTTTTAATCGCGATAATTTTAACGCCATTGTAGATGTGTAAGAAGTTGGGTCGGTCGAGTGTTTTCGCGCGTGATTCGAAGGACTTAAGGATTTTGACATTTATAGACTTTTGACGAATAAGTTTTTCAAAGAAATGCGTGAAAACATTTTGTGATGGGAATTATCAAACAAAAAAACAGATTGACACGATATGATGTAATTTGCTATCGAATAGAGAATTTTTTTAAGTCTCGAAAATGTTCTATTTTATTAATCACGTGACATCCCAAGTAACAAACTGACGTTATTTTGACATCTTGACATCATTTTGACGTCAAATTGTGTCATTTGATGTCAAAATGACAAAAGCTTGCTACCTGGGACTATTTCTTGCTGGATAGCTTTCTTTGACAGAAATCATTTTGCAATGGAAGCTTTTCAACAGAAAAACATAGATAAGCATAATTATGGTACAATTGGCTGTCAAATAAAGAATTTTTTGAAGTACCGCACAAATTGTTCTATTTGACAGTCAATCATATGACACTCCCAGCAGCAAACTGACGTCATTTGACATCTAATAACATTACTTTGGCGACTAATAACATTATTTTGGTATCTAATAATGTCATTTTGATATCAAATGACGACATTTTGATGTCAAATGTCATTTTGGTATCTAATAACATCATTTTGATGTTTAATAATGTCATTTTGATGTTAATATGATGAAAGTTTGCTATCTGGGACTATAATTATGTGTATTTCTTGCTAGAAAGCTTCTATTGTAAAATAAATATTAATTTTAATATATAATTAAAATAATTGTTATCAGTTTTTCAGCAAGATAGTGTCACGTGGTTGATGACAAAATTGAACAATCTCCGAGACTTTAAAAATTCCCTATTCAATAACCAATTGTATCACGTTATATCTATTTATGTTTACTTACTGGAAAGTTCCTAATATTTTTTAAGAAATGTTTTTTGTTCAGTTTTTATGATGACATTTGATATTTTTCAAGAACTTGCTTTTTTAAAAATATTTTTCTTGTATATGTACATAATAGTAATATAAAATTATCATTTTGTTTTAGCGAATCAGAGCTATATGTTTGATCTCTTGGTCATTGGTGGAGGATCGGGTGGCTTAGCAGCAGCTAAGGAAGCAGTGGGATTAAATGCAAAAGTGGGAGTTTTGGATTATGTAACCCCTTCTCCTTTAGGTACCACTTGGGGCTTAGGTGGTACTTGTGTCAATGTAGGATGTATACCGAAAAAGTTGATGCATCAAGCTGCATTGCTTGGTGAAGCTGTTCATGTATGTAAACATTTAAATCTATTGCATTTATGTGTAGTTCAAAGACAAAAGATGACTATGATTTCTCTAATCTCTGATCTGATACATTGCCTAATTTTTTTAGGAGGCGGCAACATTTGGTTGGCAGCTACCTGATCCTAAGACTGTGAAAATTGACTGGGAAGCCTTGAGAACTGCTGTACAAAATCATGTCAAGTCTGTCAATTGGGTCACTCGTGTCGAGCTTAGAACAAAGTTAGTTTTTTCATTTTTTTGTTCATATCTTATTATTTTGTCTATGTTTATATTATTATTTCCTTCATTTAATTTCTTTTACATTAGTAGCTAAGTATTAATTTACGTTACTATAGGAATGTCGAATATATCAATGCTCTCGGACATTTCAAGGATGCGCATACGGTAGTTGGAATCACTAAAAAGGGGGAGGAGAAGATTCTTACAGCTAGAAACATAATAATTGCAGTTGGTGGTAGACCTAGATATCCCGATATTCCAGGTGCTCTGGAGTACGGCATAACTAGCGATGATATCTTTAGTTTAGAACGTGCTCCAGGCAAAACTCTTGTTGTTGGAGCTGGATGTATCCTTTCTCAGCCAAATTTTATATATAATATATTTTATTTATTTTTATATAATTTTTTTATATAATTTATTGTTTTTACATAATTTTATTTATTTTTATATAATTTTTTATATAATTTATTATTTTTACATAATTTTATTTATTTTTATATAATTTTTTATATAATTTATTTTCACATAATTTTATTTATTATCAGATCTATCAAATATTTATAATACAATTTTGCACAAATCTATATTTTCTTTAACAATGAAACAGATATTGGCTTAGAGTGCGCTGGTTTTCTTAATGGCTTAGGCTATGATGCGACAATAATGGTCCGATCAATTGTGTTGCGAGGATTTGATCAGCAAATGGCAAACCTCGTTGCTGAAGAGATGGAACATCGCGGCGTGCATTTCATCTATCAGGCAAAGCCTAAAAAGATCACGAAGCAAGAGGACGGCCGCCTTCTTGTCGATTGGGTTGACAAGGTGCGTGCAATTTTGTGTAAAGGTTTATATTTAAAAAAGAACAAATACGTCTTTCAACATTAGCATGTAATACAATTTGGATCTCTTTTATTTAGGAGGGCACAATTCATCAAGACGTATATGACACCGTTCTATTTGCTATTGGCCGACGAGCGCTTACAGAAGAGTTAAAACCGGAGAACGCCGGATTGAAGCTTGTCCCAGAAACTAATAAAATTGAAGCAATGAACGAGCAAACGAATGTTAAGAACATTTACGCAGTTGGTGACGTACTTCATGTGAGTTTTCTGTGACATTTTATACCAAAATTAAAATTAACATTTTAATAAATAAGTTAAATATAAATAATATTAAATATAAATAAATTTGACGTCGGATGATGTCATTTTGGCGTTTAATGACGTCGGTTTGCTTTTATTTTTATTTAAAAACGGCATCTAAGAATTTTTAGCGCATGCTTTCTCGTTTCTGACGTCACAATCTAACACAGTCGCAGCAAGGATGCAGGAGCCTTAAAAATACAATTATAATGTAATTATGTAATAAGTAATCTAATTTTCGAATGTTTATTATAGAAAAAGCCCGAACTGACACCCGTTGCTATACACGCCGGCAAATTATTAGCAAGAAGACTGTTTGGTAATTCTACCGAGCAAATGGATTACACAAATGTAGCAACGACGGTGTTTAGTCCTTTGGAATACGGATGCGTCGGGCTGAGCGAAGAAAAAGCGATCGAGCTTCACGGAGAGGAAAATATAGAGATCTATCACGCGTATTACAAACCGACGGAATTCTTTGTTCCCCAGAAGAATGTCGATCGTTGCTATGTGAAGGTCGTCGCGCTCAGAACAGAGGATGAGAGGGTGCTTGGCATGCACTTTGTTGGACCCAACGCGGGCGAAGTAATTCAAGGATTTTCTGCTGCTATTAAGTAAGTATTTGCTCTACTAGTTTATTTTAAGTCTCTTGGCTCCTCATCGACCGTGTTGGAGTTGTGACGTCAAAGGCGAGAAAGCATAGGCTAAAAATTTTAATGTCATTTCGAAATAAAAGGATATTTTGATGAAACGAAAGTATTTTAAAAGTATACTAAAACCATTTTAAATGTTTTATCGAAATATCTTTAGATAGCAAGCATGTTATTTTGACGTTTAATGACGTCATTTCAACATTTAATGACATTTAATAATGTGATAGTTTGCTATTTATTTTTATTTAAAAATGGCATCTCTAAGAATTTTTAGCGCATACTTTCTCACCTCTGACGTCACAATCTAACACAGCCGCGGCGAGGATGCAGGAGTCTTTAAAATATGTATATATATTACGAAGCTATAACTTTTGTCGTATTTTTGTCGTAGATGTGGCTTAACAATCTCGAAATTAAAGTCCACCGTTGGAATTCATCCAACGGTAGCAGAAGAGTTTACCCGCATATTAATTACCAAACGTTCAGGCCTGGATCCTAAGCCGCAAAGCTGCTGCAGTTAGATTCATGTACATAATACATAACGTCATCATTCAAGATACAGATTATTCTATTACTTAGAAGATAATATTTACTTTTGTAACAAATATCAGCCGATCTCTAATCCATTTTAGCTAAAATAGCGTTTCACTTTGACACTTGCGCAGTACTAAAATATCGCGATACCGCGTAAAATAAGCAGCGAATAAAATAAAATCTAGAAATGATCCATTGTACACACTACAGTGATCTTTTATATATATATATTTTTTTCAAGAAATAAAGCGTCTTTTTTATGGCGTATATATCAGTGATAAAAAAATTATAATTATTTTAAGCATTGAAATGAAATAAATATATTAATAATATTAGTATATATAACATAGAATTATATTGTTTGAATTGGCACTTGTAAATTTTTAAAATACTAATTTTATGAATAAAATTTTTTTTTTAATTTAACAAAAATTCTCTGTAATAATTGTTCTATTTTATTATTTTCTAATTAGTAGTAGAAAAAAAGTAAAGTTAATTTTTTTAATAACCTTGTTAATCTTTGTAATTACTTCTTTGTTTCATTAGTAAGATAGTATCACAAAAATAATAAACATGTATTTCTACTATGACAAACGAAAGCTTTAAGAATGCTTTAAATACTCATTAAATATTTATATCTACAATATTGATGAGATCTCAAGTTTAAAAAATCAATAAATATAAAAATTCGATTTTAATTTGTATACTTTCATACTGTTGAAACTCGACGAAAAAAAGCATCGCAAAAATTAATAAAAAAAACGCCTTACAATTTGAAGTTTATACTTTTATGTCCTTTTAGTCGTTTTTTAAAATTGTTTAATTTTTCAATTCTGTATTTTAAAAACAGGAAACATTATTTTCCTCAAAATTATATTTTTTCTATAAAATGCTTTTTTTAAGTTTTGTACAAAATTTTTGGCTATTTGCAATTAACCTTGTAAATTTTTAAAATAATGTCGAAAATTATTACAGACACAATTAAGTAATAATGTATATTTTTTTTTACTACATATATAAGTAGTAAATGTAGGATAAACAAAAGATAAACTCGTTTATATTTAGGCTTCCCGAGAATAATGTATTATAATTGTTACGTTATGATACAGAGAAATCTTACAAAGATTTTATCACCATGGGCATTATATGGATATCGAAATGGAGAAAATTAAAATTTGATGCTCGAGGAAACCAACATGGCGGTTACTTGTAGCATTATTTTGCATATTCTAGGTTTTTTTAAATATATATATTGTTGCGATGAGAGGAATAATTGTAATGGAAATAAAAACCGGAACTGCTTAACTGCTTATTTCTTGTAAAGTTTAGATTAACATATAAAAGAACTATTAAGAATAAAGAAAGAATAAAATGCTAACAAAATATGGTCGGCGACGTTTTTGTTCACCATTCATTCCTTCAAGAGACTTGTGTAAAAAAGATATAATAAACGGCACGATTTTTTATGTACATATGTGTGTATCTTATATACATATAGGCCTGAACACAAAGCCTGAGCACCGTATATTATCTTTAAATTTTCAATATTGTATATTTTTCTAACTAAATATTAGCGAATTGTACATAAATATGCGAAAAAGTATAATAAACGCTTCAAATTGTCTTCTATCAATGTCAGTTTATTAATATTAAAGTTATTCGAATAATTTTGACATTGAATGGCGTCATTAGATATCAAAATATGACATCATTATTTTTAAAATTCATCACTAAATATCCCGAGTAACAAACTGACGTCATTAAACGTCAAAATGTTATATGTTTATAATGTTATAATTAAGGTTCTAAAAAGTTTCATTTCGTTCCTTTTATAATTCATATCTAATAAATTATTTCTTACAATTGTTAGATATGTGTACTACATCATTTCATTTTTTCCCTAGTTTTTTATAGACACAAAAAAATAACGATGATTGTGTCTATATTTGCTAGTTGTTTATTTTATTTATTTTTATGATGCCTTATTTACATACAATTCGTCATGATTAGCGAATAAAAAAGTATATCATGTACAATTAAGAGATATATCGACACGTGTTACCTTTTTTGTAATAAGAGTAATAAGACAAAAATATATAATAGGATAAAAAAAAATACTTTTTTAATAGCAGCGCAAAAGTTCTCGAAAGCCATTTTTTTCTGGAAAACCATTACTGAAAAAAATCACAAAAAAATACATCAGTACTATCATGGATAATGTAGAAATCTTGTCTCGCAATTATAATTACATTATAGCTGTATTAGTTTTATATTATATAATTATGTAGAATGAACATGTTTTTCATCTCCAATCGTTAATATTATTTTAATATATTCATGATTTATGTAATAATGATACATATAAATAAATGACAGATACATGTAAATAAATCACATGATTTTAATAAATCAATCAATGTGTATGATTGAAAACTTTAAATAAAATATCACAAAAATACTTGAATTTTTGTAAAATATATATTAATTAAATAAAATATTATAATTAATAAAACAAAAAAATAAATAAAACGAAACAAATAAATCGATAAAATTAATAAAATATAAAATGTGGAAAATAAATTTTAATTGCTTTTGCCATTTAGAACGGTATTTGCTATTAAAAAAGTATTATTTTGGATTTTATTATAAATGGAGATTCCCGATAAAGCTCCTTTTAATTAATTGCGCATTAGGAAAGGGAGAAGAAATAACGTGAGTCACAAAATCTGACCGAAATAAGTGTAAGTAAATTCCAGCACTGATTTACATCAATTGTGCGTTGATTTACATCTCCAACTTATGTTTTACGATTTCTATCGGCACTGATTATTACAATTTCATCTGTGTTTGCTCAGGCTCTATGTCAGCATCAGTTCTTCTTCTGATAGTCTGTCGACATAATCAAAGTGAACAGACTCGATCTGTACTAATTTTATAGCCTTCCTTCTGAGAAAAATTTATTAGATATTTGGCAGAATCCGCTTGAACTTTAGACTTAGCTAACTGGGAAAAAATAAGTCGAAAATGTATAATAAACATTTTTTAATATAAAATTTTGTTTTCAAGATAATTTACTTTAAAGTATGGAAAATTGATAAAATATATTTGTGTTAGTTTTTAAATTTGAATAGACCTTTTAAGATTTTGTCATATTTGAAAATTCGGCTCGAGAGTGATTGTTAAATATGTATATATATAAAAATACAATATTCTCTCTTTGTGAAAAAAGAGGTCAAATAATTTAAATAAAATTAAAATAATTTACATTGAAGAAATATTGTATAAGAAAAATATGTAGATAAATTTTATTTCTCCTGCAAAGAAAATATATATCTTTATATGTATACATACATATATATATAGACATATACAGGATGTCCTATTTTAATGTCCCATCCCAAATAAGTTTTTTATTTTTGATTGTAGAAAAAAATGTTTCAGACAAAAATTGTATGGTTTCGAGGAGGACATAAGGTGGTGCCATTAGTTTGACTTTGAATAGTTTCTTGAAGGTCACGTAAAGGTGAGATCTTGCCTTATAACTCAAAAGTAAGATAAAAATGTTTTATTATAGTGTTGTTGGAAAGCTCTTGATGTCAGCTACAAGAATATGTAATCAAAAGTAGGTGGTTCCATTTAAGAAATTAAAGGTGACCTTTACATGACCCTCAAGCAACTATTCAAGGTCAAACTAATGGCACCACCTTATGTCCTCCTTGAAACCATACAACTTTTGTCTGAAACATTTTTTTCTACAATCAAAAATAAAAAAACTTATTTGGGGTGGGACATTAAAATGGGACACCCTGTATATTATTAATAAACGCGAAAAAAACGAATAATTGATAATATAAGATTGTTAGAAGTCATTTCAAGCTTAAAGAATGATAATTTTCCACTTTTTAAAGTCAACATTTTCGGAAAATAAAACTTGGCTAAAAAAAATTTTATTTTACATTTTTAATTAATTTTTTCACAGAACCATCACTTTTCATCACTTGTGTTACCAGTTATGAAGAATATATAGGGTGTATCTTATTAATAATCCCCTGACTTCTCTCTCGTGTGCAGGTGATAAGCCGAGTAGAAAAAATCCTCTAATTTTGCAAAATCTTAGCAATTAATAAAAATTAATTTAAAAAAAATTGACCAACCCACGCGACGAAAAGAAACAATTATACATTATACAATTATAAAGCGGGTAACAAAACAGGATTAATAATTTTATAATTTTATTATATGTTATATGTAATTTATTATATGTATAATAAATTAATAATATAAAATTTATAATAGTAGTTATTTAAATATATGATTTTTTCAAATTAATTTCTTATTAATTAATTATGGCGAATATCGCAAAACGTCAGAGAACTTTTCTAATCGGTTTACACAGAAGTGTGGTGATAATTTTACCGAACACCCTGTATATCCATATCCATCCATCATATTCTTTTATACATATATAATATAAATGAACATGATGAATGCATGTTTTCTTGTACATATCCTATAATACTGTTTGAAGCGAAATTTTCGATAAACATTTCACGATCTCAAATATTTCTATAATATTAACAGTACTTTTTCCGCGCATCGTTATTTTATTAATCAATCATTTTCACATAATCGAAGAAATAGCGTCTGTGTTCTCCAATTGAATTTTAACACGTTTTGTAAATCTCGCGTTAATGCGCACAAGCAATTAAATTATAGCTTTTCGATGTGGCACAAGAACTGTCGACGGAAAGTTGTCCTGTTTCGGCTGCTGAAAGAGAGTAACAGTTCCACTTCAAGGCATTTTACTTTATGGTAGACTAGAAGCAAGGAAAGATTCACTTCTCTGCAAGAAGTACAACCGCTTTTAAAGGAAGCGCTACAAGACGACGACAAATTAATCGAACATAGCCATTGTTTAAAAGAGAACAGCCCAGTAAGCAAACTGACGTCATTAAACGTCAGATTTACGTTTAATGATATCTAATAATGTCACTTTGAATTTTAACATCTATAATAACATTATTTTGAATTTTGACATCTAATAACGTCATTTCGAATTTTGACATCTAATAACATCATCAAGTCAGAGTGATATCATTCGACGTCAGAGTGACATCATTTGACGTCAAAATGACGTATGCTTGCTACCTGGAAAGTTGATCGATTTAATTCATAAAAATTTATAAAACCGTCCGGTGTATCAACAAAAAAATAAAATTCTTATTCGTGGTTTAAAAAGAAAAAAAACTAAATTTTGACATCTAATAACGTCATTTTGACGTCATTCGACGTCAGAGCAAAGTCATTCGACGTCAAAATGATGTCATCGACGTCGAATGGCGTATGCTTGCTACCTGGAAAGTTGATCAATTTAGTTTATAAAAATTTATAAAACTGTCCGGTGTATCAACAAAAAAAATAAAATTCTTATTCGTGATTTTAGAAAGAAAAAATCTAGGTGGTAATCACGCTCGATAATTATATAATAATTATTATAGTGCTTCTGCCAAACTAACAGAGGGATATGTGAGACGAGAATAACTAGGATCATCAAGGCAAATATTGTAATGTCGACAATCTCAATCAGACTCAGAAAAATCCCCAAGAATTCGTAAAACGCAGCCTTGTCTTCACGAAACACGAAGGCTCTTACACTTCTTTTTTTGTTTTTACACCGTTATCCACTATCTCAGCCTGGCTCTTCGTCCTGTCTACCTACCTATTTTTTTTATCTATCTCTGTCTGCGTGTTTCTATTTATCTACATACCTACTTCGTTATATCTATACATGTGGCGCCGTCGTCAAAAGAAATACAAAAAAATGTGTACACAAAAACCTCATTTTTATCATTCTTACAAACTCTAGGACGTATTTACACAATTATGTACAAACATTCTCTTCTATATATCGGCTTAAGAAAAATATCAACATGGAACAATGTAGTAGTATCTTTTTTTGTTCTCTTCTGTGAAAAAGAAAGAACAGAAAATTCTAGCATTACAATCCTAAAAACAACGATCCGACCGGTCGAATTTGGATTGGGACGCCCCATCACCATCACCATTATCATCATCATCATCGTCATTGTTCTGTTCGTCATCATCGTATCACGTGGCAACTATCAATCGCAATACTCGTCGGTGTTCTGCACGATGTCGTGCTTCTTTCGGCAGTCCGGACAGTACCACTTGCCCTTAGGCGGCACCATTATACCGACGCATTCAAAGTGGAACCACTCGATCCGGCAGTCCTCGCCGTCGCAGGCGATCATCTCCGACACCTCGTCGTAGGGGCAGCGACAGTAACAATAGATCTTGCCCGGTCGTTCCGCGGCCTGAGACGACGCGTTGTTCAAGGTCAACGGCGGCATCAGGTTATTCCGGCTGACCTTGGGTTGACCTTGATTGGTGGCGTCTTCGGTCTCGGACTCGCTACTGTCGCTGCTGGTCTCCGCTGGCTCGTCGGATTCTACGGGAGACTCTGGCGCGATAAACTGACGCGGCAAGGTCTCGGCTAGCACCGCTTGGGGTTGCTGGCTAGTTGTCTGCTCCATCGCCTGGGTCACCTGAGCCCTGTTAGCGTACATCTGTATAGTGGTTTTGCCGCCCAGAGAGTACTTTGACGGTTGGACAACCGTTTTGGGGTTCGGCGACGTCGTCGCCAGTGGCAACGTCGTCGTCGTCGTCGTTGTCGGCACCAGAGGCATCGCAAAGGCTGAGGGATTAGAAGCGGTCTCGAGCTTCCGCCACCTGCCACCGAACGCCGGTTGCTTGTCCTGGGGCTCGTCGTCGCTGGAATCACCGTAAAAACGCTTCGGCACGCGTTTCCTCTTGGACACTCTCTTGTTCTCCGTCTCTGAGCCGCCGGCACTCACGTGCTGGTTCGACACGCCGGTGACAGGGACAATGGATAGTGTCTGCTGCTGCTGCTGCGTCACCTCAACCTGGTGATGATCGTTGCACGCGGCGACCGGCACCTGGTTCGGCGTCAAGGACCTACTATTGGCATGGTGCAGCATCGCCGGGGAGGACGCAACGAATCCCGGATTCTTCCGGTAAAATGCCTTAGGAATGTTTAGCTTGATCGATTCCACCGCATTCGCGTTACGCTTACCTCCTCTCTCGCCCTTCCGTCGCTTTTTCGTCTTCGTCTTCCTCTTCAGGGTCTGTTGCAGCGGTTGCTGCTGCCGCTGATCCTCGACAGTTATCGTGTTCGACTCCTGGAGCGGAGTCTTCTCCAGAACACCGTTGCTGAGAGGGGTCGACGTTAGTCCTTCCTTGGTCGCTGCCGACGTCAACTGGTTCCGCTTCTCCGTTAGCAATCTGCTGGCGAGCAACTGCGGCTGCTCGTCGTAAAAATCCTCGTCCGTTTCGGTCTCCTCAGTCTCCAGGTCGGACTCCCGCAGTAACGGCTTCGCCACGGGCGTCGGGGCCTCGTTCGTCACCTCGGGGACCACCAGACCGTTCTCCACCGCGACTTCCGGTTTGGTCTCCGGCTCGACGGACTGCGACTTGTTCTCCCGCGCGATCTGTTCCCTCTCCTTCTTACCGCTGTGCTTCTCCTTCCGATTACCGGATTGCTTTCTGGACGAGCTCTCGGACGTGGAGCTATCAGAGTCAGAACTACTGCTGGAACTGTCGGAGGAGCTACCAGAAGTGCTGCTGTTGCAGCTGCAGTTGGTACCGCAGGAACAGCTGCTGGAGTCGGTGTCACTCGAGGAGTCGCTCGTGGACGACGTGCTGCCGCTCCTCTTCTTCTTCTTCGGAGTCTTCGGCTTCCGTTGCTTGTTCGCGTCGCTGTCGACGTTACGACTCGGCGTGCCGGGTGACGGGCTTCTTTTGGCCTTCGAAACCTCGTCCTGCTCGTCCGTGACCTCGTCGTCCTTGGCGGTCCTCGCCAGATCATCCTCGTTTTTTTCCTTATCGGCGGAATACACCACGAAGTAATCGTGATCCGCGAACACGATGCTCCTCAGATACGCGGCGTCGGTTTCGGGTACGCTCTCCTTCAACGCCACGTTCTTCGCGGACTCCTCCACGTCCAGGCTGGCGGCGTACGTCTTAAAATTGTCCCAGATACCGTCCATGATGCGCGCCTCCTGCTTCTTCTCCTCCTCGTTCCGCTCCATCTCGACAATGTCACTGTTCAGCGCGGCGACGTCGTCGACGACAGCAGCGGAGACCTCTTCTTCAGCGGTCTCATCCTTCTTCTTCTCTGCCGCTGTATCCTCGAGCTTGTCCTTCTCCAGGGCTTTCTCCGCGACCTTCTCGTCCTCGCTGTCTGTGTCGCTCTCGGACGACAGGTTCAGCGGGGGCAGGTCGTAAACGTCGACCCTCTTCACGGCCTCCTTGACGCTCTTCGAGGTAATTTCGACCCCGGCGACCCCCGGCGTAGCTGGGATCCCGTCGACCGTCGACGCCGCTAGGTCCGGCTGCTCGTCTCCCTCCACCGGAAGGTTCACCACGTCGATGGTACTCCTCGCGTCGACGTCCTCCACTTTAGGGGGCTCTCTGTGCGTCAGCTGGTGCTTGGCCAGGAGCTTGCGAGATATAAAGTGCTCCGCACACTCGTCGCAGCCGTAGGGTGAGTCGCCCGAGTGCAGTCTCTTGTGCACCTTCAGCGCCACCGCGCGGCTAAAACTCAGGTTACACTCCTCGCAGACGAACGCCGTGGGCGGGATGCAGAAGTGGTAAATGTGCGGCCACTTCTTTTGCACGCACTTCCGGCAGAGGACGCTCTCGGTGCCGTGCTTCCAGAACAGGTGATTCGTGATGTCTGGCTTGTTGCGGTAAGCGATGCCACATCTGTAGCATAGATGATGCAGTTTGTGCTTCCAGACGTGGTTGGAGAGCCGCTGCTGATTCCCGGTGGACTCCAGACAGACATCGCAGACGTGGTGACGCTTGCGCAGGTGAACCATGAGTCTAAAGGCGGACGGGAGGCTGGCCACTGAGCAGAGACAGCAGCGATATCGCAGGTTTACGTTCGGCGAGTAGACCCCGGGACAGAGGTGGCACAGCAGCTCGCTGTAGCTGTAGAACGTCGATTTGCACATGATGCAGATCAGGATGGTCTTCTGGTGCATCTTGCGATTGTGGAGATAGAGCTCTTTGTGCACCGCCGAGTGGAATCTGCAATGGAAGCATTCGTAGATCAGCACAGCCGGCACGTTGTACGTCCCGTTCGGGCTGGTGTACGTGCTCAGATTGAAGTAGCGGGACTCAAGCTCGTCCAGAGACCGCTTCACCCGCGCGGTGAACTGCTCCATCTGTATGATTATCGCCGGGTGCTGCGGCTGGAATTTGTGTTCCGCCAGCATGTGCAGGCCCAGTTGCTTGCCATTGATGGCAATATGTCGCGCGTGGTTGCAGTAGACGCAAACGGGACTGGCAGCCTCGATGCAGCGCTTCAGCAGGTCCTCCAGCTCCATGCTGTCCAGAGTGCCCTCGACGTTCAGGTCGATGCACGGTGTGTCCTCGCCAGCCAGCGCGATGCCGTCGACCGTACGCTGATCCCTTTTCGGCGTGTCCTCGGCCTCGTTGTTCGTTCCTCCGTGGAGTTCCTCCGCGTTGGACGAGATGGTGACGCTAGTTCCATTCCCTTCTTGAGTTTGTCGGCCCTCGTTGTCTCTGGTGTCGTTACATCTGTCGTTACCCTCGACCTCTTCGATCTCTTCGACTTCTTCAGCTTCTTCAGCTTCTTCAGCGTCCTCTTCGTTTTCCTCCGGATTGCTGTCCACCACCGCCAATTTATCGCTGTCGGAATCGCTGTCGTCCAGCTCGTGGCTGCCGTTGATGTCCCTCTCCGTCCTGGAACCGTTCAACATTCTCTCCTTCGATGAGCCCTGGGCGTTGTTGTTTTTCTCGGACCTTTTGCTCCCGGTGATGGTGCTCGCGACGCTGAACTGCGAGTTTCTGTTGCAGATTTTTATGATCAGGCTCCTGTCGGATGTGACTACGGTGTTGAACGAGGCCGAGGCTTGAGATTCAGTGGCTTCCTTTTTCTCTTCTTCATCTTTTTCGACGTCTTCAGCATCCTTTTCCTTGGACTGCGGGTCCAGAGCGTGGGACTCGTGTTGCGGGCTGAACAGCGACCGATTGATGGGACTTGGTGTATTTTCCGGGCTGTCGAAGCCGCGAAAGTCGCTCCCGACTTCAGGCTCGGACATGGCGTTCGCTTTTGCGTCGTTCATCGGAGTCTCTTCAGCTTCGGGCTGGATCGGACTAGACGGTCTCGAATCAATGGAGCGTATCAGGTCGGTATCGCTCTTGTCGCAGGTCTCGTTGCCTTCGATGCTCATCTTACATTCGTTCGTGGTGTACATCGAGTCTTCTTCTTTCTCGTTCCTGTCCCTCTCACCTGTATAACGCGACACTTCCATGATAGTCTCGGTCACGCTGTCGTAAGGCTCGTCATGATCGAGCTGGCGACTCGGCGACACTTCCTCCGGCTTCCTGTCGCAATTGTTAAACAATCCCGCGTCCTTGTTCACTACCTGCTCGTCGTTCTCGTCGGACGAGTCGCCGCCTATGTATCTGGACACCTCCATTATCGTCTCGGTAACCGTGTCCCTGGGTAATAAATTATTCGTTAGCTCTCTTTGGACATCCGGCCGGCTTTTCGCGCCCAGCTTCCTCGTCGACGCAATCGGCGGCTTCTCTTGGCGGGAATTTTGCGCCACGTCTCCTCCTCCTCCACCATGCTTGCTCTTGCTGTGCTTGATCGCCTTCTTCGGTGGTCCCTTGCCTCCGAGATTCGTAGCCTTCTCCGGTGGAAGGACAGTCGCCGGGATGGCGCTGTCCACGTGCGTGGAATCGGACAGCGGCGTCGAGGAGCCGTATCCCAGCTCTTTATCCGTGTCCGAGGACAGTGCTAGACTGCAGGTACTCGCGTGCGTGCCCGCGTCCTGCCTGCATATGGTGCAGACGGGCGTGCTGGCGGCGTCAAGGACATCCTGCTTCAAGGTCGGCGCGCAGTAATGCTCGAAGAAGTCGTCGGTCTCTGAGAAGACCCTCTCGCAGCTGCAACAGACTAGGTAGCAAGAGCCCTTGAAGGCGTCGTAGAAATCCTCGACCGAGGTGAACGCCATCTCCGGGACGCTGTGCTTTTTCATCAGGTGGTAGGATAGTCTCTCCGCCTGGCCGAACATCCCGAGGCAGTAGAGGCATATGTGACGCTTGTGTATGTCCCGCATGTGCAAGAACAGATTCCAGTTCTCGAAGTAGGTGCCGCACGCCGCGCACAGGTAAACCTTTCGGGTGATCTTAAAGTTGCTGGCGCCGGCATGCGACACGGAGGCGCCCGTTTCCGAGGTGCTCGGCATCGGACTTGCGCTGGGATTGCAGACGCACGAGTTCTGCTTCGCACCGGAGGGATCGCAGACCGTCCACATGTGACACTTAGAGCATTTGTATCTCGCGGACGGCTGAAGACCCAGATACTGAGCGTATTCCGTGATCTTCCGCTCCCGCTTCACCTCAGTCTTCCTATCCTTGCCGCTCCGCGCATTGAGACGCGCTTCCGGTGCGCTATTCCTCGGACCGGCCGTGTGATGGATCTTCCGAGCCTGGTCCAGGATCCGTTTCTTGAAACCCTTGAAGAGTTTTGGATTAGGTACCGTATTCTTATTACCAGGTAAATCCTTCGCTATGATAGAATTGTTGAAGCGCTGTCTCTCCTCGAGCGCATTCGCGTACACGTCGTCCTGGATGGAATGTCTCAATGCGTTACCCAGTGTCGAGTCCTTGAGTCGTTGCTGTTCCTCCAAGATGTTCCACATATCTATAAGTTTACTTTCTCCATCCTCATCTTCCATAATAACGCAAACTGCTGTGGCGAGTTACCTGAAATAAACAATTACATGTTGAATCTGTATGTTTTTATACACATAATATATGTGATTATTTATTAAAAATCTGATGTAATGTTTCGAGTCTGGAGAATTAAAAAAATTATTATAATTAAGTGATTAATGATGAAAACAACAAATATATTTATTTACTATTAAAAGGAATATTTAAAAGGAATATTTAAAAGGAAAGTAGCAATTCCAGGTGACATAAGATAAAATGAAGCGTGAGCAAAGATTTTTCTTTCTTTTCATCACAAGAACATTCATCAATGCACTCACTAAAAATCATCAAAATTCAGTGTGTCATTTTGCATTGTAACCCAGGGAGTAAGTTCAGTATGTTATTTTGATGTTGGATAACGTCATTTGATGTTATTTTGACATCGAAAAATGTCATTAGACATCAAAGTGACATTATTTTGCATTGTAAACAATGTAGCAAGTTTAGTATGTCATTTTGATGTTGAATAATATCATTAGATAACAAAGTGAAATCATTTTGCATCGTAACCCAGGTTGCAAGTTCAGTATGTCATTTTGACGTTGAACAATATCATTATATGTCACTTGAACGTCATTAGACATTATTTTGACATCAAATGATGTTATTAGACATAAAAATAACATCATTTTACATCGTAATCCAAGTAGAAAGTTCAGTATATTATTTTGATGTTAAACAACATCATTAGACGTCATTAGATGTATCTTTAACATCAAATGATATCATTAGACATCAAGCAAAGTCATTTTGCATCGTAACCCTGGTAACAGGATCAGTATATCATTTTGACATTGAATAACATCATTAGATGTCACTTGGATGTCATTAAACGTTATTTTGACATCAAATAATGTCATTAAACATCAAAGTGATGTCATTTTCACATCTCATAACATCAGTTTGCTACTTAGGAATTTGCACATAATACATAGGCAGTTAGAAACTAATCTCTTCTCTTCCCGAGACTTTCTTGTACAATAAAAATTCTCAGACCCAAACCATGTCACACAGTCATCTATTACACTTGGGAAGAAAAAATAATCGAATCTAAACATCATTGATCAAATTTGGAATCCAAATTTGGTCAATATGACGTCAAATGAACATTATTTCGCCTTTTCTCTTTCATTCGGGCTAATTACACGAACCAAAACATTAAAGAATCAAATATACACAGGTCCGCGAAGACGTCCTTGATGGCGGGACGTAAAATCGCGACGAGGACTCTCTCCTCAAAAATAATTCCAGGAAGTCGGGACGACGCAGTAACGTGGATAACGAGGAAAAAAAAAAAAAAAATTACCACGCGCGAGAACGACTCGACCAGGGCGTTCGTCTCTATCGAGGCCCCGAGATCTCACGAGAACTCACCTCCTCGGGGCTCCAGGCGGAGGGTCGAGGCTACGTCGGGCGTCGTTTCGAGGACGCGCGGTCCGCGAACGAATATCCTATATCCTCGGCGCTTTTTTCCTCCCCGACGTGGTTTCCCTGGTCGCGGTGTACACACAACGGCAAGAAGGTTAGTAAAATGGCGTCTTGCGAGCGAGCGCTCGCACCGTCCGTGCGTTCAACACGTTCCCAGTGATGCCACCTTTTGTCATAACGATCCGCACGCTATGGCTCGCCCTGACAGTACACCGTCTCTCCCGCGAGGAGGTTAGCTTCTCGGTTCCTCGAGCTCGAAACTGCGACTCGAATGGCCGAACGTTCGGGACGCTATTATTATTATTAGTGTTATTATTATTATTATTATTAACTACCGCGGTAGCTATCGTCCGGATGATGCACCGGTGACAAGCGAGCGCGAATGCCCAGTCGCTTCTCCGTTGCTGCTAATGCTCGCCGCGCGAAATCTCGAATGGCGATGCATCTCTTCATGGGATGCGCGTTCACTGGTTCCTCTCGCACCACCGCAGGCTGGTTCGCTGGATAAATTCCAACCTCACTTCATAACGAACGAAGTTACGAGGGACGAGAAGCTCTCCCGGCGAGCGCGAATGCCGGCGGCATTCGAAAACCTCTCTTTTGCCGAAAACCTACGTAGCCTACGATTAGCGAAATTCTCTTGATTATCGCCGCGCAGAGCGTCGCGGGAAAAAAGTGCGCGAGCCTGCGCGGGTCCTCCGTTTACGAACGCACCGAGATACATTCCGAAATTTAAGGCTTGTCGCGCAATGCGAGAGTAGAAAATTGGAAATAGGCGGTGTTTGTTCCCAGGTAGCAAATGTACGTCATTTTGACGTAATAATGCCATTTTGACGTTTAATGAATACATTTTGACATTTAATGACGCCATTTTGACGTTTAATGACGTTTGATAACATCATTTTGACGGCAATGACGTCACTTTGACTTTTGATGATGTCGCATGACGTCATTTTGCCGTTTAATGACGTCATTTTCATGTTAATGGTATCATTGACGTTTAATTACGCCAAAATGACGTCATAGTGGCGTTTAATATAAAAGTTTATGTAATGGAAATAAGAAATAGAAAAGCATGTATCAATTTTTTTAAGGTTTCTTAGGTTTCATTCCACAATAGATTGCAAATACTAGTTTCGGATTAACTAATTAGAGTAAAACAACTTGTCAGCTGATTCACGCAACTGGCAACCAAGGCATTTCAAGCTTGTAGACCCAGCTTTAAAAAATTGACTAATCACTGTCGAGTATTTTCATTATACTTGATTGTGATTGGTCAATTTTTTAAAGCTTCGGTAGTGTGCATAATAGAGAAAATATTATGACTAAACATTAGGAATAAGAATCATTTAAAAATAATTAAAATTGAAAAGATTCTAATATACAAAAATAGAAATTCGGGTATAAAAACCCCGCGCACAATAGAAAAAATATTAGAAATAAATATCAAAAGAAATAAAAAATATTTTCAAATAATAAAAAAAATCAGGAAGAATAACTCTGATATAAAATAAAAATACAAATTTGATTATAAAAAATTAGTAAAGGCTAATAAACTAACAAAGAGCATTTAAATGTATATTTGTATATCAGACAGTTTTTTTGATTTTATTTAAAATAAATTATTTATAAATATTTTTATTAAAATTATAAAAATTATAAACGTCATTTAATAAAAATATATTTTTCAAAATAAAATTTTAATTTTACTTGTAAAAATATTATTTTATTAAATTTAAATTTTATAATAAAAATAAAAAACAAAATTTTTTTATTGCGCATAGGGCCTTAAATCGCCTATTGTAGACGTGGCGTAAATAACCGGCCGGTCGCTAGCGCCACAAAAATCCAGTAGTCACGTGACGTCTCACAACAAAGAAGAGGCATGCGGACGTCGCATTTCCGAACGTACAACCGAAAGAGAATCTAGAATACAGTTTGTGCGCGAATTTACGTCGATGTGTATACGCTTTATTCCACGGTACCATCTTGTTTCCTCGCATACATCACATCGCATCTCGCATAAATATATATCACATTTGTTGATGCTACATAGCTGCTGCTCGCGAGAGCCGACTATATTGCGGAGGAAAAAAAAAAACAAGATCATCGCACCGTCATACGTTGTATACGTACGATACATATATAAGTTTACACGTTCGTGCGAGGAAAAATCTCTAGAAAGAGAGTGAGAAAGGAGAGAAGAGAAGAGAAGAGGATCTCCCTCGCGGACGGCTGTTCTCGGGGACTCGTTGTCATTTGAAAACGGAAGCCATCTTGTCTGGCGGAGCCTTCCATATTAAAATACGAGGAATTAACAGTCCAGGCTCCACTCGTCCCGTACAAATTGCCCCCGTGTCCCTTCCTAACACGTCTGGACTATGCGCGAACCATTTCGCCGCGCGTCCACATAGCCATGGCTGCGACAAGGAAGTTGCAAGGTGAGGAAAGAAAGACCCGCCGCGCGTCCCTTCGACCCTCGACGACTGTTTACATTCGGTCGTAGGGTCCCCGTCCGCAAACCCGCCGTTTCCTCCGTTTCCCTCGGTTTTTCCGACCCCTCCGCGGCCCGCGAATTTTCACGCCGACTTTTCCCGCGAATTTGACGTTTCGCGGCGAACCTTGTTCAATTAGCGTCGTCCTCGAGCGGGATCGCGCGGCTTCCAAGTCTCTTCTGAGAGATTATTCTTATTTCGAGACTAGTTTTGCGTATTGTTTCCCTGATATCGTTTGTTTCCCTCTTTTGTATTCTCCATAGAATACAGCTGTTTATTTGACACTTATACGGCATAACCTTTAAAAGCTTCTTTTACTTTGGATATATATATTTTTTTATGAAGTATAGCATAATACGATGTAAGGATGACATAAAATGATATGTACTGTGGCCTTAAAAGCTACTTAGATAGTTTTTTTTAATCATTGTATTAATAGGGTGTTACGGTTATCAAAAATCTTTGTTACGCAGCTTTGTTACATTTAATTGTTTTTTGTTTCAGTTTCTTTAACTTTCAGATTTTCATTTTGCAAAAATAGTTTTTCTAGAATTTTCATACGTCTGTGATAAATATCCCAGGTAGCAAACTGACGTCATTAAATGTCAAAATGATGTCATTTAATGTCAAAATAATGTCTAATGAAATCAAAATGACATTATTCGACGTCAAAATGACGTATATTTGCGACCTGGGATGTATACATATGTATCGATGAATGAAACATAATTTTTTATTCTGATAATTAAGTAAAATAATTAACCGGTCACTTAAATTAAATTAGGAATTAAAAAAGAGCAGTGTACATACATATATATTTGTTTAACATTATTCTGTGTAATGGAATATATTATAAAATAATACATACCGTGGTCTTGAAATTCATTTGGATAGTTTTTTTTTAATCATTGTATGTATAAATAGATTGTCAGGATTGTCAAAGTCTTTGATACGCAGTTTTGTAACATTTACTATAATTGCAGTCTCTTCAACTTTTCAGATTTTTATTTTGTAAATGTAATTTTTCTAGAATTTGCTTACGTCTCTGTGCTAAGTGTCCCAAGTAGCAAACTGTCATTAAATATCAAAATGATGTTACTTGATGTCAGAATAACATTTAATGGCGTTATTTGATATTAAAATGACGTACGTTTGCTACCTGGGATGTATTGATGAATGAAACAATTTTTTATCCAGATAATTTAGTGAAATAATTAACTGGTCAATTGAAGATTGAGCAGTGTACATACATATATATTTGTTTAAAATTATTCTGTAATAGGGTATATCATAAAATAATACATACCATGGTCTCGAAATCCATTTGAATATTTTTTTTAATCATTGTATGCATAAATGGGGTGTTACAGTTGTCAAAATCTTTGTTACACAGTTTTGTAAGATTTATTATAATTTCAGTCTCTGTAACTTTTCAAATTTCTATTTTGCAAAAGTAGTTTTTCTAGAATTCCCATACGTCTCTGTGATAAATATTCCAAGTAGCAAACTGACATCAAAATAATGTCATTTTGACATCTAATGATGTCATTCAACGTCAAAATAACGTCTAATGATGTTATGCAATGTCAAAATGACATAAATTTGTTAATTGGGATGTATACATAAGTATCCATGAATAAAACATAATTTTTTATCCAGATAATTAAGTACAATAATTAACCAACCAATTGAATTAAATTAGAAATTGAAAAAGAGCAGTGTACATACATATATATTTGTTTAAAATTATTTTAGCATTATCTGATATACAGTGACTTTGAAAAAAATTGTTTTAACATTTCAGGTGAAATAGATCGGTGCCTTAAAAAAGTAACGGAAGGTGTAGAGACCTTTGAGGATATTTGGCAAAAAGTTCATAATGCCACCAACAGCAATCAGAAGGAAAAGTACGAGGCTGATCTCAAGAAAGAAATTAAGAAGCTTCAAAGGTTACGCGATCAAATTAAGAGCTGGATCGCATCGGGTGAAATAAAGGATAAGAGTACATTGCTCGACTATCGGAAATTGATCGAAACTGTAAGTATTTTTGTCTAGTATTTAATATCATACATGCGCATATCTATAATTTTATCATGATACTACTATATAATAATATAGTTTTATAATAACTAATTTATATATATATATATATATATATATATATATATATATAATATAATACAATTAAGATTAAATCACAGCTCTAATATATTAAATATAAATCACAAATAAGAAAGGCCTAAAGAGCCATATGCGGATGTTGCTGCGTATATTTCCAACAAAAATTAAGTTTTCGTTGGAAATAAACCGTGCACAAGGCACGTATCATTCTCGGTGTATTACAAGACTTAAAATTTGAAATGATCTCACACTTGAAATTTAATTTTAAAAACCCTCTAATCTCCCTATGGAAATAAATAAATAAATGCGAGAGAAAAATATAGATCCGAAAGTCGTTGAATCGGGAATTGAACCCGAGACCTTTCGCTTGCCGGGATCTATAATTTTCTCTTGCATTTATTTATTTATTTCCATAGGGGGGTTTTTTAGAAGGTTTTTTAAATTAAATCTCAAGTATGAGATTATTTCAAATTTTAACCGTGCCTTGTGCACGGTTTATTTCCAACGAAAACTTAATTTTCATTGGAAATGTACGCAGCAACATCCGCGTATGACTCTTTAGGTCTTTCTTATTTGTGATTTATATTTAATATAATATAATAATATAATAATAATAATAATAATAACAATAATAATAATAATAATAATATAATTTTATCATAAATAATAAATTATGGATACTTTACGTGTTGCAGCAAATGGAAAGATTTAAAGTTGTGGAGAGAGAGACAAAAACAAAGGCTTACTCTAAAGAAGGTTTAGGTGCGGCTCAAAAATTAGACCCAGCTCAGAAGGAGAAAGACGAGGTTACTAATTGGCTCGCAAATTCTATAGACGCTCTCAATCTACAGGTACTATATTATTACATCGATAACATTTTGGATTGACTTCGATAAACAGTGGTACGAGTTGCTGTAATGCATCTGTTATTATTTTTGATACAGATGGATACTTTTGAATCGGAAATAGAATCGTTACAAGCGGGAAAGAAGAAAAGAATAGACAAGGATAAGCAAGATAGGGTAGACGAATTGAAAACGAAACTTGACAAGCATCGTTATCATATTCGTAAACTAGAAACGTTATTGCGTATGCTTGACAATATGTCTGTTGAAGTCAACACAGTGAGTTTTTTTTTAATTTTAGATTGACATGTAAAAACCATGTATATACTGTATTGTGATACATTTTATTACAGAATAATTTTTGTAATTTTTTTATTTATATTATATATTTAATATATCTTATGGATTTATATATTTAATATTTAATTATATTAACTAATATTTAATATCAAATAATATTAATGGTAAAAAAAATATATATATATATATAATATATTAATATTAATACTTAATATATAAATTAATACTAATTATTTAATCTTATATATTTAATATATCTTGTAGATTTATATATTTATATATTTAATTATATGTTTTTTATTATTATTTATATATTTAATTATATGTTTTTTTATTCATTTTATTTTTTCTGGAAATTGTCAACAGATTAAAAGGATAAAGGATGATGTTGAGTATTACATCGAATCTTCGCAAGATCCTGACTTTGAAGAGAACGAGTATATTTACGATGACATTATCGGCCTCGATGAAGTCGAGCTGTCCGGGGTTGGCATACCCTCGTCAGCGACGACGGATAGCAACAACAGCAACGAAACCGGCGGCACGCCGACTTCGACCAATTCTTGTACTTCGCCTATACCGTCGCCGTCATTGAGCTCGACTATGCATAATCACTCGAGTGACAGCTCTACGGATAACGATAAGAAAACAAAGGTTTATTTTCGATTCTCATTTCGCAAGAAGAAATCCATATTTGACACTAGATGTTCCATGGAAATTGCAAATTTTTTAATGCACACAGTTATTGGGGAAACAAAAATTGTGTTGGAAAGAGGAAAGTCTGCAGTTTTTAATGGATATAAATAAAATGTTTGAATACCAGTTTATTTTATTGATAAAACATAATGAAAACAGTGCTAATAATCACATATGTAAGCTAATGATAACTATTTTTGAAGTGTGCATTATTTAAATTTTTCTAACATGTCATTTTTAATGTTATTGACGATCCTTTTAATAGCTGCTATTAAATCTGGTACTGTTGAAAATATTCATCATTAGTTTATGTGATTTTTAGCACTTTTTTTATTACTTTTTATCAATAAAATATGCAATATATACAGACATTTTATTTATATCCATTAAAAATTGCACTTTTTCCTTTTTCTAACACAATTTTTATTTTCTCAACAACTCCATGCATTAAAATATGACAGCTGATTAGTTTTACAGGGTGTCCCATATTTTCTATGGGACACCCTGTAGAAATTGAGCTAGAAAAATAAAAATCGATAAGATCTGTAGGATTAGGATACAGAGAGCATCAGATATCGCTGTTTGATTTCAGCCTGTGAAACCAACAGCAGTCAGACCGCTACTGAGTACACAAGCGAGCATTCCAACCACGGGAAGCACTGCCACCATAAAATCGAGCATACTGTCGAGCAGCACTCCGAGCAAAGCCATTCCCATGACGCCTAGCCACAGCTCGCCTAGTTCTACGAGTAATCACATTGCCACCACTAACGCCGGCAATTTCGCCACCGTAGCTGCCTCGCACAGCAGTTCGCAAACCATCCATTCTACCTCCAATAAAACATCCAGTAAGATGCTTTTTTTTCGTATTTCATATTTAAACAGCTAAGAGCCAAACGCGGTTGATTAAAGTTATTAATTATTAAAGTATAAATAATTATTTATATATAATTTATGTAATTTATATAATTTATATATTTATATAATATATATAATATATAATTTATATATTTAAGTATATATAATTATTAATTTCTTGATATTGGATCAAGGAGAATTGATGTTCTGTGCATAACGAAAATTAATTCTTGAAACTGACGCTTGGCTTGTATTTGTTATATACAGGGTGTTTTAAAAGTCCTATAATAGTTAAATATCTCGAAAACAAAGGCTTTTTGAGAAAAATGTTTCAAAGGCCACGTAAAATTTATTTTGAAAATTTTCAATGGAAACCCTTATTTTTTATTATATATTTATGTAACTTATTTCAAAAGATTTTCAAAACACTATAATGAAATTTTTTTCTGTTCCATACAAAGAATTTTTCTAGTTATGAGATTGAAAAATACAGTATTTTTTAAATATAAAGTATAAAATATCTTGTAAAACGTTGTGTTTTCGGTAATCTTACATTAATACTTTTATGCATAGAATAATAAGGCCAATCAATTCTAAAGAAAACGCATAATTGTTTTTAAGAAAAAATATATTGTAAATTGCATACATTAAAAAAAAATATAAGGTAAGATTATCGAAAACTAAATATTTTACAAGATATTTTGTATTTTATGTCAAAAAAATACTGTAAACTTTTCAAGCATTATAATTTAAGAACCACTGAATGAAAAAATACTCTCGCATTTATTTCCTTAGGGGGAAACAGGGGATGTATGGAATTAAATCTCTTGTAGAGATTATTCCAATTTTAAATCTTGGCCGTGACCAAGTAAAATTTGGTGCCTTGTGCACAGGTTTTTAATTCTAACGAAAAAATTTAGTTTCGTTGGGATAACGCACTATCATCCGCGATTTGGCTCTTATTGCCTGTTTGACACTTTAAATTTAGAAAAAAATACTTTATTATAGGGATTTTCATTAAAAAATTTCAAAGTAAATTTTTAAATATTTTATAATCACTAAAATTACTATTTAAGCTCTATAACTTTTATTTAAAACATTTTTTTCAAAAAGCCTTCGTTTTCGAGATATTTAAGTGCTGTAGAATATTTTTGGAACACCCTGCATATATTATTCATTTAAATTAAATATATATATATATCACATCGAGAGCCTCGGTAAAAGTCTCAGTTTTTTTCATACACATGAAAATACACCAGACTATTTGTTACTTACCTAATAATTTTTATAATCATAATATATTAATATATAAATAATTATATTAATATTAATATTAATTATAATAATATTTATATTAATAATAATAATAAATATTATATTAATATTAATAATTGATAGAAATATAATTATTAATAATTATATTTGTTAGCTACCTAATAATTAGTTATCTAATAATTATTCGATGTTAAACAAAATCTTTAAATCTCTTCTCCAATTCTTCTTACAGCTCACAACAACGAGAACCTCCTGTCATCGTCCACGTCCAGTGTTACGTCAAACGTGCCACAAACGGTTACGCAGCATAATACCACTAACAACAACAATAGCAACTCGGCGCCAGCACAGACGACGCAGCACGTGCTGCACAGCCAGCAGAGCCAGAATCACAACAGCGAGGCGGAGATGATCACGTCGATACCGCCGTCCTCGTCGTCGCCGCAGTCGTCGGTCAGCAGTAGATCTTCGCCGTTGCCCGCTAATTCCTGCTCGCCAGCACCGTCCACTGCCAATGGTCTCATCCCCAAGCTTCCCGATGGGAACATGTCCTCACTGAAATCCATTGCCCAACAAGTGATCGTTCGAGCAGGCCTCGACATACCACCCTCCGAACCGAGCAGAAACATCTTCGACAGCACCAAGACGAGCAACAGTAGCGGCAACAGCGTTACGTCGGAAGCGCACATTCCTCCGCTGCTCGGGGTCGCCCCTCTCGGGCCCGTGCCCCTGCAGAGGGAACACCAGCTGCAGTTCCAGATGATGGAGTCCGCGTACTGTCACATGCCGCATCCGTCTGACTCGGAGAGGCTGCGCTCGTACTTGCCGAGAAACACTTGCACCACGCCGCCCTACTATCAGCAGGTATATTTCTCTATCCTAAGTGGTTCAGATCGACGTCTCGTCTCTATCCGACGACTAGAACAGATCAGCTGACACTCCCTGACATCTGCGTGCTTCGATTAGGTTCAGCTTCCCCATTCGGACACCGTGGAGTTCTTCCAACGCCTTTCCACAGAGACCCTATTCTTCATATTTTATTATATGGAGGGGTCTAAAGGACAGTACTTGGCAGCGAAAGCCCTGAAGAAGCAAAGCTGGAGGTTTCACACCAAGTATATGATGTGGTTTCAAAGGCACGAGGAACCGAAAGTTATTAATGAGGAATATGAACAGGTAAATTTTTTTTTTAACTTGACTAAATCTTTTAATTAAATATTATTTTGTTAATTAAAATATATAAAAGTATTAAAATTATTAAAAATATTAAATACTAAAAATATTAAAATTAAATGTAACATTAAATCTGACAAAATGTATATTTGACTTGAATATTAATAAATAAACAAAATAATAAAAAAAAACAATAAATAAAATAATTTAGTTGAAAGATTTAGTCAAGTTAAAAAATTTTTTTTAGTGCACTTGATCACTTAATTTGATCATTCATTAATCCATAATACAGGATGTTTCAAAAACATGGAATAAAATCATTACTGTTTGAAAGGGAGGGTCATGTATAAATTTTAAAATAATCACTGCTAGATGTCTTTCAGTGCGGTTTCCTGATTTTGAAATTTATTCCATCTTTTTGTAACGCCCTGCGTTTTGCTGAAACTCTACGAGATATGTTTGCGTTTCAGGGAACGTACATTTATTTTGACTACGAGAAATGGGGACAGAGGAAGAAGGAAGGATTTACTTTCGAGTATAAGTACTTAGAGGACAGAGACTTGAATTAATACAGCTTTGTCGCTCGTTGAAGTCTTCGAGATACGCCATTTCCGTATCGTGTATTGTGTTTCTGAAATTCAGCGGATGATTCTGTCAGATGTAAAAAGAAAGAAAAATATATTCGGTTCAACGGAAAAAAAGGAAAACAAATTCGTTCGCATAAGAAGCCAATGAAAGCATTTCATAACAATTTTGATGCTGCGATGACATCTCTCTTAATTCGTTCTTTCGGAGGGGAAAAAACCATCAACCGTGAGATAGATGAAAAAAAATAGAGATTGTTTGGGAAAGAAATTATATATTAACTATTTGTAAATGATAACGAGATGTGTGAAAGAAAAACAAAGAGAAGGGAGAGAGATAGAAAAAGGAACAACTACAGAAACATATAGAGATAATTCACTGTGCTGTGTGATAATAGGAGAGAATGAAAAATAGAGAGAGAGAGAGAGAGAGAGAGAGAGAGAGAGAGAGAGAGAGAGAGAGAGAGAGAGGGAAAGAGGGAAAGGATGGTATACTTGCTGGCGACTGACTCTATAATACCAGTACAAACATGCGTACTGTCCTCCGCCTAATCTAAGGCGATAAGAAAGGAGGACACTTACGCTATGGTACGTTTTAATGTTAGATTATAAGTAGCCTTTTTGTATAAAGTGTATCGAGGTATAAAGAAAAAAACCCTTAAATTGAATTAATGTACAGAATATGTAGAAATAGTGAATAATAATATTATGGAATTATATTTTATTTCTCATTTGAATGAAACCTAAGTTGTGTTTCCGATTTTGTCACGCACGCACTTATATAGCACGTCACCTCGTAGCTTATATATATACATATATAAATAGAGAGAGAGAAAGAGAGAGAGAGAGAAAGAAAGAGAGAGATTTGGAAGAGAAAAAGAAAAAAAAACATTCCATCCATCGTAATTAAATTCCGCTGTCTTGAAATATGGGTTACTTATATGCGCTCTAACTGATCGATCCGATTGGTCCCGGGTCCTCGTCGAGGTCTAAAATTCTGTATTATTATTATTATTATTAATAATAAGTAGCGTGTTGGTAGGCTAATAAGCTACTTTTCAGCTCTTATACACTTTAGCCCTTAGATTCGCAATATATTACAAACCCAAATAGTACACTGACGTCATTAAACGTCATTAAAACGTCAAAGTGACGTCATAGACGTCAAAGTAATGTCATACGTCAAAGTGACGTCATTTTGACGTCTCATAACGTCTCATAACGTTAGTTTGCTACTTGGGAAGTTTATTAATAATCGTCAAACGACGACGTTAATATCGCACTATCGATATGCATATGTGCGCGTATCTATATTTTATCCGTGCGAATTTATTTATTATAAACCGTCGAATACAAAAAAATTGTTAAAATTATGCTTTTTTAAATCAAATCATTTGTCGAGCAAATTGCACGCATTATTTCGAAATAAATCGATTATAATATTATTCCAGGAAGTAAAAAAAGAGAAAGAATTATATCAATTATACAGGGTGTCCCAAAAGTTCGGCGACAATCAAATATCTCGAAAATAAAGGCTTTTTCAAAAAATGTTTCAAATAAAATTTAAGTAACATATTAAATAGTAAAATTTACTTTGGAATTTCTAAACGTCATAATAACTTCACCTAAAGCCTTATAATTTTTGACATATTTTTCTCAAAAAACTTATTTTCAAGATATTTAACTGTGTGTTGCGGGATTTTTTGAATACTATATATCGTTTCGAAATGACATTAAGAGTAAAGTATCGAAATATTTTTTAATACTCTTTCAGATTAAAAAAAATACCCAAGTAGCAAATTGACATCATTAAACGTCAAAATGGCATACGCTTACCTGCCCAAGTAGAACAGAAAATCAAAATAATATCATTTTGACGTCATTGATCAAATTTGGAGTTCAATTTGAACTCCAAATTTGATCAATGACGTCAAAATGATATTTTGATTTTTTGTTCTACTTGGGTGGATTTTGAAAAGGTTATTAATTATATATTGTATGTATGATAAGGAGTACAAGAATAAATATTAGTATTTAAAATAAATAATTTCGCACGGCAAGATCGTTGCATGCAAATCGAGAAGCGACTTCGCAGTTGCAAGAGCTTTCGATAACGAGATTAAATGTACGCATCTCCCTCCTTCCCCTTAGTAAAAAAGGAAAAAAGATATTAAGTTGAAATTCTCATACGATTATTTTAGCGGAATAGAAGAAAGAGAATTATGATTTTTTTTTAATTATATCGTGTAAAGCGTAGCATATATATATATATATATATATATATATATATATCATATATATATATATATATATACACACACACACACATGTACTCTAAAAAAGCGGATAATCTCCCGTTGCAGAGATTTTGCGACGAGCAATATATTAATTTGCATGACAGAATTAATTCTTCAGCACAATCACGCATTTTTCAAGTTTTCTAAAGTGATCTAAGAGAGAGACGTAATTATATTAAATACGTATTTATCTGTAAACACAGTAAATACATTTACGAGATTTATATACGTACAATTGTGTATGCAGAAATTTCTTAATCGACAGTATATATATATATACACACAGGGGGAGTCATTTTAATCAACGCACGTAAATATCTCGTATAGTAAGCAAGATGGAAAAAAATGTCTCAAACAAGTTTTTTGACTATGAGGGGGACATAAGATGGTGTCATTGATTTGAACTGAATATTTTACAAGATATTTTACATCTTATGCCAAAAAATTGTAAAAAAACTTTAAACTGTTATAATTTGAAAAGTACTTCATCAAACAACACTTTATTATAGGATTTTGGAAAGCTTTTTAAATAAGCTATAAGAATATATAATGAAAAATAGCAGGTTTTATTTAAGAAATTGAAAGTGACCTTTAAATGATTATATAAAGTCAAATCAATAACACCATTTTATGTTTCCTTCATAGTCAAAAAACTTTTGTTCAAACCATTTTTTCCATCTTGCTTACTATATGAGATATTTACGCGCGTTGATTAAAATGGCTCACCCTGTATATATATATATATATATATATATATATATATATATATATATATATCATGTCTTTAAAAAAACGTGATATACGCGAGGTGCTGAAAATTTTTAAGTACTTTTTGCCTGCACAAAATTGAAAATTAATTCTTCACAGCTTGTATCGCGTTGATGACCGAGGTAAATGCGTGATATGATATATATATATATATATATATATATATATATATATATATATATAAATAATGAGAAAGATTTTGCAGCATTTTAATTGTTTCTTGCAATATGATACAAGACGTAAACAACGGCAGAAAAACACCGAATATTCTCGAGAGAGAAATGCACATTTTATACATACATATATTTTATTAATTTCTGCAACTTTTGCGATTATATAGATAATTATGCATTTTCAAAAAATCGCCGTAAAAAGAGTAACTAAGAATCTCTGTTGCCACTTTATACACGCGATTATTATATAATAATCTCCTAATAATTAGAGAATGCATCATAGTTGTAAATTTGAAAGAAACACTTATTGTGTTTTCTTGTACCGTATTTTGTACTACAAACAATCTTGTACAATGGATTTTACCGACTTTCTATAGAGGATTAATGAAAAAAAAGAAAAAAAACAATCGATTTTACAATAGTAGTCTTATCCTAAGTGACAAACTAACGCCATTAAATGTCAAAATGACATTTAATGACGCCAAAATGACGTATGCTTGTTACTTAGGATAGTGTTGTACATACAATAACAGTCGTTATAATATTTTTCTGCTGTAGGGACGAACGTGTTTTTCTTTTTATCTGCATTTCTTCTCTTAAAGGGGATGATATTCTGCTTTGTGATAACACAAAAATATAGAAGCGATGCAAGAAGCATGACAGAGAAACCTTTGTTGTATAATAACGAATTTTGTCTTCGATGCTTCGTTAATTTCCCCGCTAACGCGTTCGCCGTAAATGATAAAAAAATATTGTGATTTTACTTAATATACATTTTATTGTGATTCTTTGAGTGATATTTAAAATACCATATACTGCTCTGTGCAAAGACTTCAAATCGTTAAAAAAATACATTACTAATTTCTTCAATATAACTATTTTTGCTTTATTGCTGAGCCTTAATTGTCGCATTTCAAGCCTTACAGGAGCACTTTTGTACATTTCATTTTTTCCTGGCTTATCACGATCCATGTTGAAATTGCGACGTCTGAGGCGAGAAAACACGCTAAAAATTCTTAGATGACTTTAGTCATCAAAATATTTTTTATTCAAAAATAGCATCTAAGAATTTTCAGCGTGTGCTTTCTTACCTCTGACGTCAAAATCTAACATGATCGCGGCGAGGATCTAGGAGCCTTAAAAACTGATGTAAAGAGCTAACAAAAAAATATTAATATGCAATAAATATGAGATGAGAACTTAAATGACATGAAGAATTTTTGATTTTCAAATAAGATACTTAATCAAGATAGAAAGGATTGTTAAATTTCTTATTTAAAGTACGAAAGTCGTAGAAAGAAAAGGGACTTTATTAAAATAAAATTAATATATCATTGTAATAACATACTTTACAATATCTAGCATTCTCATTTTCTTTTACTCTTCGCTTTCATCCTTTTTCTCACCCCGAGAGACTGTTCCGTATCGTCGTCCTCATTGCCGGCGCCGCGCTTACGTTTACCTGATTTTTTATTCTCTTCGATATTTTTCATATCCTACAGAATTACAGACAATAAATATATTTGCGCATCGTTTGTACTATATCTATTTATCAAACCATTCGAACTCTCTATCAGCAATCATTTTTGCTTGCGTCAGCGAACTGGGTCTTTTAAGTTCAGCCTATATTATTTTTGATTTAGAAAATAAAAAAATTCTGAATTATTTGCTAATATCTCTATCATAGTATCCAATAAAGAGTGACCGCAAAAACCGCCCGTTTTGTGAAGAACGAGTTTTGATGCGATGTTGGTGGTAAATGATTGTATACCATCAAATATTGATTCCCTAAAAATTTCGAATTGAGCATACCTTTTAATGCTGAGATATGAAAGGTTGAAGTTGATATTATTCACGAATAAAGGGTACGCCATTTTACACGTTCAACACAAAATACCTCTAGATTATTTCTCATATCAAAAAATGTTTCAGATAAGATTTGTTTATCTGTTAGAAGACTAATTTATCCTGACCTCAAATTATGACCTTATGACCTCAAATCGACAATTTAAGTCAAACTTGTGAAGGTCATTTAGAGGTCAATTTGCGATTTTCAGTACTTATCTCGAATTTTTCTAGAAATGCCCATTTGAACTCTATATGACCTTACAAATTATTCCTTAAAGATCATTTGAAGTCACGAGTAATTAGACCGCAGAGGCTGGTATCTGACATTAGTTGAAAAACATTTTATTGAATTTCGCAAGTTGACCTCTAAATGACCTTCACAAGTTTGACTTAAATGTCAATTTGAGGTCACGATAAATTAGTCTTCTAACAGATAAACAAATCTTATCTGAAACATTTTTTGATATGAGAAATAATCTAGAGATATTTTGTGTTGAACGTGTAAAATGGCGTACCCTTTATTCGTGAATAATACCAACTTCAACCCTTCATATTTCAGTAATAAAAGGTATGCTCAATTCGAAATTTTTAGGGAATCAATGTTTGATGGTATACAATAATTTACTACCAACATCGTATCAAAACTCGTTGTTCACAAAAACGGGCGGATTTAGGCCTGTTTTTGCGGTCACTCTTTTTAAGTCAAATATTAAACTCAATTTTTATATAAAATAAAATTTGAACAACAAATAGAAGTTAGCTTGTGCCTTAAAAGACCCCGACTGCTGATGGAGAGTTAAACTAACTCTTACCATTTTTACTATTCGCTGTGCTTCGCTCACTCTTTCCTGCAGTAACATCACCTCTTCCTCCTCTGTTGAATACAATGGCAGCTGCTTCGATATCAACTGTTCTATTCGCTGATACAGCTCGACATCGTATTGCGTAACAAAGGTGATCGAACGACCGGATCGACCTGCACGCGCTGTCCGACCCACTCTGTGAATATAATCCTTGCTGTGCGTTGGTATATCAAAATTGATAACGATGTCCACGTGCGGAATATCGAGCCCTCTGTCGGAGAAAAATGTAAATTTAAAATCTGCTCCTTTAACATTCAATAAAATAATTATATTTTGTAACAGAATGTCGAGCCCTCTATCGGAAAAAAATGTAAATTTAAAATCTACTCCTTTAACATTCAACAAAATAGTTTATATTTTGTAACGAAGGGTCCCAACCTGCTGGCAACATCTGTTGAAATTAGTATGGATCTATTCTTCGCTTTAAATTTTGTCAGCGCGGCGATTCTCTTGTTTTGCGACATTTGCCCGTGCAAAGGAACCGCCGTGAATCCTAAGTTCCGCAATAATAGAGCAGTTCTTACGGTGTTGTTGCAGGTTCCGCAGAATATCATGAAACTGTTGCCCGCCAGTTCGTTCAAGATATGCACCAGGTACACATTCTACCACACAAAAGTATTTTATATAAGCTTACAATTTTTTATATAATTATAAATTACAGGGTGATTCATTTTAATCACCCCAGGCAAATATTGCGAAAACTATAAGAGATACGAAAAAATGTTTCAAACAAGTTTTTTTACTGCGGGAGGGGGGGGATATAAGATGATGTCATTGATTTGACTTTATATCATTTGAAGACCGCCTTCAATTTCTTAAATGGAACCTACTATTTTTCATCACATATTTTTGTAGCTTATCTTAAGAACTTTCCAAAACACTATAATAAAATATTTTTCTCTTAAGTACTTTTCGAGTTATTAAGATTTAACAATTTTTTGACATAAAATGTAAAATTCAAACTTAAATAATTTAAAAAGTGCTTAAGAGAAAAATACTTTATTATAATGTTTTGGAAAGCTCTCGAGATAAGCTACAAGAATATTAACAAAAATTAGGGGGTTTCATTAAAACAACTTTTTTTAATGGAACCCCCTAATTTATAAGTTGATCTTGTTCTGCTTTACTAATGCCACTTGTGCCCATTGTCAAATTAATATTGTCCTTAAAGGCGTTTTTTTAAGTCTTACAACTTTTGTTTGGAACATTTTTCTTCTAATATACATTATATAGGAAATATTTATCAGTTGGCAGCTTGAATAGCTATTTTGACTGATCATGCTGCTATATTTGTTGACAATCACCTTGAATTTCACTGGAATAAATATGTAATATTGCTGCAGCTTTTCTACAGTTTGATACTTGGTGGACATTTCGACTTTCACGGGATTTCGCAAAGACGCACGTTGCAGCTTTTGCACCTTCTTCGTCATGGTTGCGGAGAATAATAAGGTCTTCCTTTCTCGCGGAATAACTCTGAGAATCTTATCAACCTCCACCTCAAAATCCATGTTCAAGATACGATCTGCCTCATCCATTACCTTGTAAATAAGAAAATAAGATTAGAAAATTAATTCAACAATCATCGAGATAAATGAATGTAATAATTACTAGAAATTTTAATTGCCGTAAATTGAAGCCTTTTGTATTCTCCAAGTGATCGACTAATCTACCAGGTGTAGCGATAATGATGTGAGGCTTTTTCTCTAATAGTAGTCCCTGCGCATGCATGTCCATTCCACCTACTATCACTACGCATTTTACACCTATGCTGGAACCTGAAACAAATACATGGTGACAAATAGAGTGATTGGAGCAAAATATATTATTCTTACCTAGCGCTTCAAATTGCTCTGAAATCTGGAAGGCCAGTTCTCTCGTAGGTGTCAGTACAAGTGCAAAATATCTTTGAGGATTCTCCAATAATGCTTGCAATATAGGCAATGCAAAAGCAGCAGTTTTTCCTGATCCAGTCTCTGCTAATCCTATCACATCCTTGCCTATCAATCATCAAAACAGATATAGTTCCATCGATATCAATGCATTGCTTTTTAAAATTTAGTTGTATAATTTTATTATTGTTAAAAATCTCACCTTGAAGTACCAAAGGAATGGCTTCTTGTTGAATACTCGTAGGTTCTTTCCATTTTAATTGAATGCATGTATTGCATAGCGTGTCCACAAGCCCCTATTTAAATTTTTTATTACATTAAATATCAGAAATTCTTACATCTGCTGTCATATTTATTAGTGTTACAAAGGTTTGAATAAATCACTCTGAGAGCAATTAAATTCAATTTATCATAAACTTATTTGACAGGCAATATTTTTTATTATAACTAAAGACAATAATTTATAAATAAAATCATTAAATAAATTTTGTACAATTGTTTCACAGTATTTTTTCTAAATATTTTTCTCTTATAACAAGAATGTATAAAATATGAGTCACTATTTACATTATTTACATAACTCAAGAAGGAATTTACAATATAATAATAAAGACCTATTTGCTCGAATTATAAGCCTATGATTTAATAAATATAATAAATTTAATATAATAAATATAAAAAATGTAATAATATATAAATTGAATATTGTATAAAATTCAAAAACTGTTATTTACTTATATTAATAATAATCTCTTTCACGAAAAAATATTGATAAATATATAATAAATTATTAAATATATATATATATATATATATATATATATATATATATATATATATTAATAATGTATAAAATTTTTTAGAAGTTACAATTGATAAATGTGGTCAACATTTACCAGTGCTTTCCAATCATCCATAGTCAAAGGGTGTCGGATAACCGTGCACGCTGTGTCGCTAAACTTGCCTGAGTCCTGAGGCAAAGAGTAAGCGTAACAGAGGTTTGAGTCTACCCAGGACCCCAGACCTCAGTAGATCCACATTTATGGAACTAGATGAATCAAAGGATTAGGGGGTCGATTGTGTAATTTTTTCTAAAGTAAAAATGTGAAAAGTGAAAAATTTCTTCCAATCACACATCGATTTTATCTTAAAATCAATGCGTGATTGGTGGAAATTTTTCACTTTTCACGTTTTTACTTTAGAAAAAGTTACACAATCGACCCCTAGATCTAAGTGACATTTAGGGACCACCCGCTCTTCCTATTACTACATTACTACAATTGATAAATGTGGTCAACATTTACCAGTGCTTTCCAATCATTCATGGCAATATAGTGATATAACAAATATAGACACTTGCTAGCGCAGTAGCTTTAATTTTTGACAATCAATTTTTCATTCAAAATATCACCAATTTCAATATTTTTATTTATTTATTATTCTTCTGGCTGAATAACCTGTAGATCCTTAGGCCGGCGTCCCATGGAGCGGATTATGCGGAAGCGGAACCAGCAGATCGCCAATCACGGAATCGTTCCGATAGAACTTATCGATGAGCTCCATCGGAACGATTCCGTGATTGCCGATCCGCTGGTTCCGTTTCCGCGTAATCCGCTCCATGGGACGCCGGTCTTATGATTCTTGCACACAGGAAGCAATATTTAGGGTGCCGTCACATGAGACGTAACTTGCGTACGCGTAACTTGCGGTAACTTACGCCGACCAATCACATCGTCTCATTTCAGTATCAGCTTCTGTCTAGTTATTTTATGCTTTGTACGCTATTATCGTTACGCCGAATTCAATTTCTGGCGGAAGAAACGCTGATGCGTATTTGTAAAAAAAAAAAAAAACACAACTCCATTTGTGCGTTCTTCTGCCAAAGACTAAAGACAAAGAAGAAGTTAATTTTAATCCATCCATACCTATACATTAATAAAATAAACAAGAATAATCAAATAAGGGTAAGTTAACAAAAATCTAATTTATTATATAAGCTTTAATAGCGTTCGATTAAAAACAGTTTACTGCTCACGCGACATGTGATACAAAATTTCAAGTTTAAATTGTATATTAGTAGGTCTTCGTACTTTTTGCATTTGAAATCTGTTTTCTCTTTCTCTAATATTTAACATATATTTATTTCTTGTTTTACATGCATGAATTTTTGAGAATTTTGAGCAATATGAACATCATAATGCATTATTTTCTACATTGCATGTTTGAATCTTTTCAGCACAAATGCGGGTATTGTGAATGGCTGTTCCAATTTTCTACTAATTTTGTCGAGCATAAATGCTTCAAGCATTATGTGGAAGATAAGGATCGCATCGTTGTAAATGAAAATTTTGTCGTGACAATATGTTATAACAGTATGTTTTCTACATTCTTTGCATATATTTTGTTGTATCATTTTATTGTATTATAGTAATTAAATGTATTTATTTATTTAATAATCCAAGAGAATGCAAAGACTGCGGTAGGTCCTACAGATACTTTGGATAAACTCTTGATCGAAGCAGTGAGGGCTCTCGTCTTCTACATATTTCGTTTATCTTGTCACTTTGCCAGCCATTTTAAATATGCGCGTTTTACGGAACCCAAAGCATCGGTTCCCCATGAAGTGTATTATTCGGGACACATAGGTTACGAAAACCAATTACAAGTCCAATTTAGCATTTCTGTTAAAGCATACAACGGAAACTCTAATCTATGATTGGTTGTATTAGTTACACGTTCCGCGCAATACGTTCTATGTGAATGCCGTCCTTCAGAATAGCGTAACCACGGCGTATCTTTTATTAAATCACTAGATTACACTAGAATACACAGGTTACGCTTAAGGGTCGGCAGTACACCAGGCAAACTCCGAATTGATATTGGAGACCTCGTGCGGTGACAACGCGAAACTCCGGTTTCAGTGTTGCCAACGCCGAGAAACCAATTCTCGGGTTTTATGTAGTGGTGTATGTCTGTACACGTACATACACCAACTGCATCGCTCACGCGGACACACGTAAGAGAGACAAGGACCGATAATCACGTGTTCTCCTTGTTCATCTACCGTGCCGGTATACGCGAGATGCCGCCTGAAAATGCTTTCTGGCCTTCCGTAGCAGAAAGCAGTAACGTAGCAAAACTAATAAGCACCCACTTTTTGGAAGTATATATGGTTATGCACATATGTGCATAACGTATATATATATAACATATATATATATATATATATATATATATATATATTATATAAGGGATATGTTGATTATATTCTTGATTTCTTTTTGATTATTGATGCTATTGTATAATTTGCTCCAAATACTTATAACGTGAAAGAACGTTGAGTAATGTATAATCAATGCAAGGATGTTCAGTATATCATCCAGTATATAAATTAGAGTTCAAATATATCAATATCAATTTTTTTATAATATATATATATATATATATTAGAATATAGAAAAATGATAAAAAAATATATTTCGGCGATTTAAAAATTTTTTAATATATTGAAAATATTTTTACTACATACACTATATATAAGTGTAAAATAATTCAGAAAATAAATTTAATAAAAATCTACATACCAGCTGTGTGCATGTGTGCAATTGATTTATTACTTGAAATTTATTTACGGAATTATTTTGCATTTATATATTTATAGTATGTGTAGTTGTAAAATGATTAAAATATTTTCAATATCAAATTTTTAAGTTTATCGCCTATATAAAAAATATATTTCTATGATTTTCTATATTCCAATATATTATAAAAAAATTGATATTGATATATTTGAACTCAAGTTTTTTACGTGATTAAATATTCTTGCATTGAGCCATCATACGTTACTCGTAAGTTCTTTCACGTCATAAGTACTTATGTAGCAGAGAGAAAGAAATGAGAGTTATACAATGTAACATCAATAATCTTATATATTATAATCTTATATATTATATATATATAATATTTCATTTATTTATAAAAAACATTTTATAAATAAGTAAAATATTATACAGACAATGTACAAGATGTTCAGTTTGTGCCATAACAAGCTTCAATCAATAATTATTACTCCAATGAGTATAATTCACAATAATTTTTATATAATATAATAAATATTTGAATATATAAAAATATTTTTAAAAATTTGTTTTAAAAATTAATTGAAAAAAAATATTTAAAATATTTTTTTATATTTAAAATATTCTTTTCCTCAATTAATCTTAAAAAAAATATTTTTAAATATTTAAAAATATTTAAAAATACTATATATTATATAAAAATAATTGTTGATTATTATATTGGATTATTAATTGAATGAAGCTAGAGCTTTTAATATGGCTTTTAATACTGCTTGACAAGGAGAGAGCATCATTCCATCTTTGTCTCTCTTACATCGCATATGTAGTAGCGTCCATGTAGGTACAAACACTAAAAAATATTAAATTTAATTTTTTTATTGTTTTGAATAATTTTATCATTAATATACTTATTTTCAGAACTATTTCAATTTTTATTTCATACTTATGTTTATATAAATTATAAATTAAAAACATATCAAAAATGTAATACATATTAATAAAATGCAAATACATATAGAAAATTAATTATAAAATGTCATCTTAAAATAGTTTTTATTTTTGTTCTTTATTTACATATGCATACATATACAAAAAAATAAAAATAATATGATAGCCTTTTTGCTGACATTATCTCTCAATATTTGCATCCGTGTGCTCACGTATTAGTGTTTGTACCTACATGGACGCTACTACATATGCGATGTAAGAGAGACAAAGATGGAATGATGCTCTCTCCTTGTCAAGCAGTCAGCATGTTACCACAGAAATTTCCCCTGCTCCTTATGAATCTAGTGAGAATCTTATCGTCCAGATATTTCATAAAATAAGTGACATAACTTCGTGAATTTTTTTTTAATATATTCTTTATATAATAAAGCAGTCCTCTAAAAGGCCGGATTTTACATTTTCGCTCTTAAAAATTTATAATAAATAAAATACGGACTCGCGGCTAACCCAACCTTACCCGTTCCTAGCTGTGCATTCCCCCAAGTTTATTAAAAATTTTTATTTTTATCTTTTTTTCATAAAATAGCTCTTTAGAGGACTACAAATGAGCTTACTGATTAAGAATATCCTAAATTTAATAAGATTCATTCAATATTTTCGCTAATATCTGGAAAATAAGAATCCGTAATTCCCGGCCGGCCGATAGGCGTCTCCACCATGTCGCCTGCCGACCCTTAAGGGTGCGATTACATGGACGCGCGGAAACGCGGAAACGCGGAAACGCGGAAGAGAAAGTAACTAAACTTTACTGGAGTCCCGCATTTCCGCGCGTTCCGTTCCGTCTGTTTTGATTGCCTTATATTACATGGAGCACATTTTGAGCGGAAAAGCGGAACGGTATAGTGACAAATAGACATTTGTATTAATTTTTTAAATTTATATTTACTTAATTCATTGTAATTCCTTTTAATATGTTCATCTTTTCAACTTATCTATTGAATACAAGCATTTTAATCAATAAATATAGTTAAATATTAATATTTTATAATTCCCCGTTCCGCTTTTCCGCTCAAAATGTGCTCCATGTAATATAAGGCAATCAAAACAGACGGAACGGAACGCGCGGAAATGCGGGACTCTAGTAAAGTTTAGTTACTTTCTCTTCCGCGTTTCCGCGTTTCCGCGTTTCCGCGCGTCCATGTAATCGCACCCTAAGGGTCGGCAGGCGACATAGTGGAGACGCCTATCGGCCGGCCGGGAATTACGGATTCTTATTTTCCAGATATTAGCGAAAATATTGAATGAATCTTATTAAATTTAGGGTATTCTTAATCAGTAAGCTCATTTGTAGTCCTCTAAAGAGCTATTTTATGAAAAAAAGATAAAAATAAAAATTTTTAATAAACTTGGGGGAATGCACAGCTAGGAACGGGTAAGGTTGGGTTAGCCGCGAGTCCGTATTTTATTTATTATAAATTTTTAAGAGCGAAAATGTAAAATCCGGCCTTTTAGAGGACTGCTTTATTATATAAAGAATATATTAAAAAAAAATTCACGAAGTTATGTCACTTATTTTATGAAATATCTGGACGATAAGATTCTCACTAGATTCATAAGGAGCAGGGGAAATTTCTGTGGTAACATGCTGACTGCTTGACAAGGAGAGAGCATCATTCCATCTTTGTCTCTCTTACATCGCATATGTAGTAGCGTCCATGTAGGTACAAACACTAA